ATGGACGAGATCCACTCTGCGTCTGAACAGACGATCGAGTTGGAAAACTTCAATCTTTAATCTGCGTCTCTATTAATTCATATTAAAAAGTGAGAATTCTCAAAATAATTAACTTTTCCTCACTTGCCCAACAATTTAATTGTTTTATTGCCGTATGCCCCAGGGGAGGGCCATAGAGATAGAGAAGCGGCTTAAGGTAGACTCCCGGGGTGAGGGGGGCAAGAGGAATAGCAGACATTAAAACCAAGTCTCGTTTGGGAATTATATATTTTTCTTGAAACATTGGTAGTAATGCATGTGTATGTAGAACTTCTTTCTGCAATGTAGCCAACCATGCAAAAAATCGGGGAGGTGCAACAAAACTTGTACAATAATGTAAATTTTCATAGCCAGAGTCGCCATGAGAATGCATGAACAAACGCATCCTAAAAAATGTGGCAGGAGAGTTGTCACAGGCAGCATCCAACATGTTCAAGCCAGAATCAAGATATTCGTTTCAAATGGAAACCAAATCTCTATTTCAAGATGGGGAAAGGGTCTGGGGTTGAAAGTGGAAACCAGCACAAAAAATATAATCTTCAGATCACTAAACGGCGACTACCCCGCAGCCCACTTGCTGTACACCACTGCCTCCTACAGGTCTCTCGTTCACATGACAAAGTCGGCGGTGTGACCCATCGAGGCCAGGGGGAGGCATGGGTCGGGTGGGGGGGTAAGGGTGGAGGAAGTCGAGAGGACAAGCACTCACACGGCAGTGATGATGACGGTCAGCCACTCGTAGGTGATGATGTTCGCAGAGATGTTCTTCAACGTCACCGTTTGCTTGAACACAAAGTAGTCTTTCATTTGCTGCGGAGAGATTAAAACACCCCCGCCCCTTATCCCAGGTGCTCGGAACGCGATTCCCAGTTGCCTTGCTTACCCACCGTGCAGTTCTACGCAGCACGGGAACGGACGATGCCAAGGTAAATTAAAGTCGCTTTTGACTTCAGGTCAAATCAATAGCCGAAGACCCCAGCATTAACTGCTCGATCCCCACATCGGTCCTTGATTTTATTCACGCGCGGATTATGCAACGCATCGCACCTCCGATTAGCACGGCTGGTTACATGCGGTGCGAGAGACGGGCATAACATAAAGGTTTACTCACAATGGACACCGAGTTGAGCCCCCTGCATTAGAGACGGAGCCAATGCCGAAAGAGGCCTTGCTGGTTAAGTGTTAAAAATAAACTATTGCTAAACTAAACACATTTTCACTTTACCAGGTAAGGCCCACCACTGAGCCATGTAGTGCTTTTTCAGAAGTGATTTGGCAACAATTGATCGCTCAGCCAAATAGTGCGAAAATTTATAGCAGCCAAATATTCGAAAACGCACGTTGATAAAATGTCGGGCCGTGGCCTCGAGGGTCCGTGGCGTGGCCTGCCGATGGATACGTGGCCGCGTGCAACGGCACGGTGAGCCCAGCACCACACTTCCTCAGACTGCGTGTACGACATAACCACGGTGTGCAGGCCTACTGCGACAACTGCTACACCGCCGGCGTGCCTGTTGACCTGCGGTGGCGCACAGTCACCGGCGAGTTGGTGGAGATGGCTTTCATTAAGCCCTCAGGCCTACTCGAGGGCTAATATTAGCTCATTTTCAGAGGCGACCTGGCCACAAATGGAGAACTCTACCAAGTGGCCGATCACGTGGAAATGTATTGTGGGGGTGGGGGGGGGGAAGGACACGAAAACAAATTCCAAATATACAGGCGTTCAATGTTAGGATCGAACAGACAACCTCTTGCATACCAGGCAAGGTTGTAAACATCCCACCACCGTGGTGCTTGCAACGATCCACTAAAAATCGATGGGGAGGGGGGGGGGTGTTCTTTGGGAAGATGAGTCGCACCCTGAAGATGGTGCCACACTCGTGCAGGGAGATGTTGAAGGAGATGATCGGCCCCGTGTCACGGAGCTCGCAGCCTGGACCAGAGGAGATGAGCGAGAGGGAGGAGACATTCTGGCCCAGGACCAGGCGCTTCGAGATGGACACCATCATCCGCTCGTTAAAGCACCCCACGATCATCTCATCAACTGCGGGGAGGAGCAATCAGCATAGTGGCGTGAAGGAGTAGAAAGTGACAAACACGGCGTCGCTCAATTGACCTCATGCCATGCCAGAGATTCAAAGTTAAAATCTGGGTTTAGGCATCCCCCACGACTAAAATACAACTTCAAGCATGGCAAGTTGGTCTCGGTACCGCTACAGAACAAATTCTCACTTCTCATGTAGGAGGAGCATTTAAAATGAAGGTCTCAGGAGTGTGCATTGGTATTTAGGTTGTCAGAACAGAGTTGTGGATGGGACATTTCTGCTTATAAAAAAATGGACAGCAAAAATGGTATACAATTGGGAGACCAAGCAAAAATTTATGAAAAAATTATAATGAAAAAATTCTGCCTCTTGCGTCACTGCGAAGAGGAATCATCGCCACCACACTCACCGCAGAGTAGCCCACTCTTACCCCAACCCTCACCCACTCAGGACACAGACCTCTCACTCACCAGGGTCGGCACTCACTCACAATGTACCACTCAGCTATGACAGGCCCGACACCACCAGGGGAGCATCAAGATCACAATTTGTATCGGCTTATGATTAATATTTCAAGTGGGGAAATGTAAAGTCAACATATCCATTTCGCACATCATGTACGTGTCCTTCACACCAGCCACCGAGTGCCAGAGTAGACAGTCCCCACTGATGCAGTCGTTAAGCCCGAGTCTTAAACGGGGGTGGGCAACGTTCAGGATGGTAGTGTGAAACCACAATGCTACCGCCCTCTCCAGGTGGTGCAAATATAAAAAGTCTGTCAAGGCTGTAGAATCGCTGGGTTGCTAAACAAAGGTAACAAACGGGACCCGAATCGTATATGAAAACAAACAAAAAACTCAACTGGCTTATTGGTACTCCAAAAGTAGAGATGGAACAGAAACTTCAATTTATAAAGACCATCACGGTGAAATAGTGTGACATCCATTTTTACCGAAATTTTAGTACGACTTGGGGGTGGGAAATGGCGGTAACTTTCATCCAGCAGTGGATTATGGCTCGTCATCATTCATTACTACATCCCCGGTATGCCGACTGGGACTTGTAATCTCGGAGGTCCGTAGATCCATTCGATCTCCTGGCGTGTCCAGTTTGTATCAACTGCTGCAAGTTTCTGAAGTACCATCCCTCCCTCCGACCTTATTTCACGCCAGCAGTGGCACGAATTTTAAGAAATTCACGAGCAAACCCCCCCGCCCCCCTCCGTCTGCTGTCTGCTGCACTTCCAGCGAAAAGCCACGAGGAAGGAAGCCACCCCAACCCACCCGCCACTCCCACCCACCCGCCACACAGCCGTAGTCGCCGTCCTGTAGCTGGCACTTGTAGCCGGGTGCGCAGGGGTCGCGGCGCTGGGTCAGCGAGCGGTTGCCATGGCAGGTGTAAAGCGTGGAGCAGTCAGACTCCCGGAACTGACGCCCCACCTGGGCGGAGGGACGCCGTGAAAAATGGCAGCGATTCGTTCGGGGAGGCAACTAGAGTCCCCATGCACGTGATAGGAACCACTTAAGTTTCCCCATCAAACAATTAGCAGGCCCTCTCCCCGTCCTACCAAGTGGCAGCTGTCCTTGTGCGGCACAACGAGACTGCGCAACTGGCCTGCAAATGGGAATTAGGGGGCTCCCAACAATTGTCTGCCATGTGTAATCCCAATGTAATACATTTTTAGGTCATCTTCCAAATTTGGGAGAGTGGACACTGGTACCCACCCCCAATGTGGCCTACTCTTGAAAATTCCGTCAGGGGGATCTAGAATATCCCCTGCACGTAATGTATTGGTTAATGCGCCCAGAGTATTAACCAGGGTGGTGGCTGAATTTGAACTGCAAACCCCCACAAGAAGTGGCACGCACAGGACCACTAAGCCATGTCAATAGTAGTCCTTGGTGGGTCACTTTGGAGCGAGTCATCACCTCAGCAATGTCCATCCCATCGTCATTTACCGAAAAAAATGCTGAATGCCAATCTCTCCACTACCAACGATTTGGCTACCCATACCTTCCCATGGGTAGGATGTGCCCAAGAAGGGCAGTCGTCCCCACCCACCCCAACCGACGCTGGGGGACCCACCGCGTAGTAGGAGCTGCCGTCGAAACACCCACAACCCTCCGGGGGCACGCAGATGCCGCCCTGGCGGAAGAAGCCGCGCTTGCACTGGCAGCCCGCTATGCACGGCCACTCACAGTCGGAGGTGGTCATCGCGCACGACGGCGGGCACACGGACGTGCACGTCTCGAGGCGGCTGTTCACCGGGCAGGCCTCGTCTGGGTTGGGCGACAATGCGCACCACCACCACGAATCATCAACATCGTCCAGTTTTACTTTACCAGTGTAAGGGCCTGTCATATGGCACCACCAAGGTGTCAAGGCAGAACACTATGGAGGGGTGGTGGAGTCCACCTGTAGTAGGGAAACAAGGCGTCAGTCACCATTAGTGCGGACTGCTTCCTATAAGGGACCACCTCACCAGATATAGCTGGAGTCGTCCTCCATTCAGGGACCCATCCTGCAACTTGCAGGGTGGGAGGAAAGACTGATCACACGTACGTCATCGGAACGGCAAAGGGTTAATTGGCTGAAAGCATCCAAAAAACCCAATGCAGCAGCAGGACCCACCGGAAATGAAAGTGCTATGGGACCTCAGGTGCAGCTTTTCCCTAGGCAAATAGGCAAATTATTAGGACGAGCAAAAATAAGTCTCCTCCATGCCAAATACAACAAAACCCACGGTGGCAGTGGCCTCACCACAGCCCGCCACGGTCCTCCACTCCCCGACGAAGACGCGCCGCAGCCGGCAGCGCGTGTGGTAGGCGTGCATCACGCGGCACCGCGCCTCCCGCCCGTCACCGCCTGTCGGCGCCGACGCGCAGACGCCGGCCCACCAGGCGGGCGGCACGGTGCCGTGGCACACCCCGAAGGGCCCCGCGGGGTCGCTCAGCACCGCGCACGCCGTCTGCGCCGCCGCCATCAGCCGCAGTGACGGAGGAGGGGGAAGCCGAGGGACCGGGGCCGGAGGAGCCAAGGGGACGCAGCTGCGCGGCACGAGGAACGGGGCGCGCGGGAGGCGAAAGGGAAAGCGGGGCAAGGGCGTTAGTTCACTCATTTACCAGGCACACAGCGCTTGTCGCAAATGAACCATGATACGAGGATTGCCATGTGAAATCCCCAGAGTGATCTTAAAAGGGAATCTTTTAAATTTTGATCCCCCCCCCCCACACCACAACCTCTTTGCGAATGCCGTTACCGGATTCTTTGAAGTCCACCAAAGCTGACGGCGCATGGTAGTAGTTCACGGCTGTCATTACACGCCGCAGGATTAAAATCAGGGCGGCTGCTATATTTGAAGAGAACCTCCACAACACTAAAAAACACGTGAATGCACTACGGCTATGTTTACGTTTAACGAGTATTAAAATGCGATGGTGCTTCGAGCGAGGAAAATTTGCGACAAAGGAGACGCGCGTTTAAGCAAATAAATTATATTGGGACTCTACTACCGCTGGGCTATAGAGTCACCGCCCAACCAACTTGGGAGCACCGCATGGCAAGACAAAAAAAAGAGCCAAAGCAAAAAAAACTAAAACTTGCGCGGTGGAGTCGACAGGGCGGATGAGCCACGGCGACGAGGAGCCCACGGCGTTCGTGACATTGTCCGGCCGCCCGTCAGTTGTCGCCGCACAGCCCCGCGGTGGCGCCAGCCAGGCCCGGTCCCACCTCGATGGAGAAGGACGCCCAGCCATTGTAGCGCACCAAGAAGTCGAGGTCGTGGCCGAGCACGACGATGTCGCGTGCGTTCTCGAAAGCGGTGAAGGGTATCCTGAAGAGCGGCAGGTTTTGGCGCACTCCGTTCAGCTGTGGTCACCCCCAAACAAAGAAAGACACCCCAGCATAGCCTTAACAGACTATTGGGGCAAGTGCTGTTAGCGAGCACCTTTGAAGGCCGGCACACAACCGGGTGGGTGGCCAGCACCACACCCGACTGCCTTTGTCTCCGCAGGGCCAATATTTTACACACCACACCAGATAATCAGTCGAGTACCGAGAGGCAGCCCAGGACCGTTTACATAATCGTCACCGGTTTTGGCCGTGAGCGGAAATCGAATGCGGGTCGCTGAGATGGTAGTGCACTAACCACGACTTCAGACGTGCGATCGATAAAAAATACTTACCACGTACCGCCCAATGAGCTACGTAGCTCCGTTTCAGAAGCAACCTGGCCATCAGAAACGATAGTTCAACGAAGGTGGGCCTATTACGTGGACATTTAAAAATGGCAGCCAAATACTCTTAAAAGTGCGTGTCGAGTTTAAAATGTGGAGTGGAAAACCGAGGGACCCAGAGAAACTGTCACACGACCACAGGGAGAGACACCAAGCATCAGTCGGGATAGAACCCACGACCTCCTGCATATCAAGCAAGGGAGTTAACATCGCACCTGGTGGCACGAACAAATAGGCTTTGCTAAAGTATAGTGCTGTACAAAGAACGGGGGTAAAAGCCCTTGAATTTATTAGCGTGTTATGCATGTTAGAATTTTAAATTCAATGTGGCAACTGCATGTCATACCCGAGTAAAAATTTGTGAATTTCTGTCCATCATTGGTAGTGCCACATAGCAGTAATACAATTGGGACGTTCGTTCACGCGACAACTTCATAAAAAACATTAAGTCGGCTGACAGGTAGAGGGAGGGTATGACAGCCCACAAAAAAGCCAATATCCCAATGCACCACTATTCTGCGCCCGCTTGTGCCTGCCCGTGCCCACCCAAAGCTTTACGCTCTCCCATCCCGGCCCCGCGTGGGGCACATCCGTACGTAAACGTTGAATCCCCTCTCCAGCGCGATGGTGGTCGACTGGACGCGGATGTAGACCCCGACCACGACGGTGGCGTGGGGCGGCAGGGCGCTGCGCTCGTGCCGCGCGTACACCGAGAAGTCCGGCCTCTGCGCGACGCTCACGAGCGTGTAGCTGCATGTGCCGTCCACGTCCAGTGCAGTGCCGTCGAATGTGCTGTAGTGAGCATCTCCCGTCACCTGGCAGCGCTCTGCCCCACAGACGAGATTGGGTAGGTAGGAACCCATGGGTTAACGATTCAGATTGATTAGAAATCAGAATGTATATTTTGTACTGGGAGGAATCTCGGTAAAGCCTACATAGCCATTAGCTTATCATCCCGAAGGTACCCGACCACGAATGATCAGTCAATGTAGCTTGTCGTGTGTAAATGTATAGGATAAAATCTAAACCATCATGCATCACATCAACCATTCCAATACCTCTTTGCAGTCTGGCCAAGGGGACAGTGCCAGCTCAAAGTGGGCCTAGGTCAGCCAGAAGCAGGCAATGTTGCCATCGGGCCCTTTTCCAATAAGTATCGAGTAACCTCTTCTTGGTTCTTTCGGTAAAGTCACGTAGAAGGGACAGACAGACCTGTTCTTCACCCGAGGACGGCTGCTTGCGTTGTGGCCAAAACGTCGTGAGAATTATTTTATTATGTTTTATTTTTATTATTTTTTAATTTCCATTCTACGTGACTTTACCGAAAGAACCAAGAAGATGAATCCCTGCAGTCACGAAAGCTTTAAATCGAAATTTATCGAGTAACCGTCACACGAGACAAATTTGTAGCGTAAAACGTAAAACCGTCCCAAGACCAAAACCACACGAAATGCCGAGACCAGATTTGGGAAGCTCAGGAGGGGTGGAGGCTGCATAGCGCGTGGATGGGCGACCACCAGACACAATGGACAGGAGTTTAGGCGGCAGCAGCAGGAGGGCAGCACGACCCATTAGCCTTCTACGCCTGCTCACTGATGCGCTCGGAGCACAGGTACTCCCCGTCCTCGAGGATGCACTGCCCAGAGCAGCGGAACGCCGAGCACACGACGGCTCCTCCCGTCCGGCACGAGCACAACTCCGTGCAGTTACTGTTCAGGAAGAGACTTCCAGCCTGAGCGGTGGGGCAGAGGCACACGGTGGGGCAGGAGGAAGGGCCGGAGGCGCGAGGTCAATGTTTGCTGGAGATAAAGATAAAGCCAAACTCCCTTCCCCTCAAACTAGCAAAGCATAACAGAACGTCAAGGAAAAAAAAAAAGGTTAAAGGTTTCCACTTTCTTTATGTGAACGCTTTGGCAGTACACCGGTGGTGTACGATAGCAAAGAAACATTTTCGCAAAAATTATTTTCCCGTAATTTGCAACCCCGGTCAGAAAATCTTGCGGGGTTGGTGGTGCATCAAAATGTTCCCTGCAATGTCGAAGCAGTCAGAAGTCGAATGTCAACTGACATTTGGATTTTGAGACCGTTTGACGAGGACCAGGTGGTGCATTATATACTGCACTGCCGATACGGCCATGTGGTAGTAGATGCATTCCAAAAAAAGAAAAACGGTGTACAAAGAAACCTGCTGAAAAACCAATGCACCGACGACGTTGACTGCATAGGTCGCATTTTTTTTATTTTCAACCCAGCAGATGCAAATAAAGGGGGACCCAACAACGCCAACCACCCACGTGCATACACACACCACTCGCCTGGTAGTAGGAGCTTCCGACCACGCAGCCACACTGCGCGGGGAGGATGCAGCGGTGGCCGCTCCACACGCGCCCGAAGTTGCAGACGCAGCCGTCGAGGCAGGGCGGCCGCACAGGGCACAGGCCGTCCGCCGTGGGAACGGCGCACGTGCTGGGGCAGCCGGGTGCACACACTTCGTAGTGGCTGCCAGGCGGGCACCTGGGCAGGGCTGCACGCGGGCGAGGAGATGGCAGCGGGGTAGGGTTAAGGAAGAGTTGGGAATGGAAGAACTCGATCCCACCAGGTGCAACGAGTGGAATCCACAAATTTCTGTATTGCATTCTCCTGGCGAGCCGGGAAGGCCGTTTGAACAACGCTCGTGCGATCCTCCACCCACCCTCGTCACCTCCACCAGGTTTTCTGGATCGACATCCCACGTGCAAAGCCACCGCCACCACAGCGCAGTGCCCGACGTCACGCGTCTCCCGACGGCCGCGGCGCTCACCGCAGCTGGCCGCGGTCCTCCAGTCGGGCAGCGCGACGCTCCGCAGGGCGCACGCCACGGCGTAGAGGTCCAGCGACGCGCATAGCGCGGCGCGCATCGCTGCTGGCTTTGCCGAGTGGCGCACGTGCCACACGCAGCGCTGCCAGTAGGGCTGCACCGCCACCTGCTCGTGGCACACGCCAAACAGCGTCGCGTCCAGCAGGCGGCCGCACCACAAGAGACGGGTCGCCAGCTCTTGGTTCACGACGCTGGGCAGCTTGGTCTGGCCCTGCTCAAAGCCGCTGGGTGGGGTGAGGGGGGGGCAGCGGTCAAGAAGCAGGACAACTGGGATTGCTCGAGGAGAGATCCCTGGCGGTTCTAATTCAAGTCTATTTTCATACTTTTTGCATTGTGTACAATCTGGAAGCTACCCACATGCCAAATTTCAAGTTTGTTGCATGTTGGGACGTATGCTAAACATTTCGAACACATTCACAAATTTCCCTTATATATAAAGATAAAGGCTTTCGCTCCAACACCGGTGTTGTGCTGTACTAGTAACGAATTGGCATATTTTGTTAATGTGACAAACCTTACCAATTGGCCATGTCGGGTGGTGGTGGTGGGTTTAACGACACATTTATGCAATCCAACCCAAAAAAACCTCGTGGATAAAACGCGTCTCTAACCCACCAACCCTCACCTATCCCACGGCCGCGACACCCTCCACGAGTCTCCGAACGTCCCGGCGTGGCTGGTGGGCACGCCGCTCGGCAGCCTCATGTCGTTGGAGGCGTCGCCGTCCAAGTTGCCGCAGAGGCCCGTCACGAGCCCGGCGTGCGTCGCCAGCGCCGCCACCAGCACGTGCCGCCCGTCGAAGAGCACGCGCAGGCCGACGCGAGCCTCCAGCAGGAGGTGGTTGCCCGCGTACGAGAGCACCACCTCGGGATCGCTGCCCGTGTCCGGGTGGTAGAAGGGAATCCGAGCCGACCGGCCGTTCACCTGCAAGGCGCCACGCAGTCCAAACGCCGACAAAATTGGCGACGTACCTGGTGCGCACAGTCTTGTGTGCGGCCTACGAGGAGCAGCGATTGGCTAGTGGGGAGGTTGTTGCGAGGGATTTTAGGCAGTCAAATATAGTTTTCGTCCAAGAGTTTATCAGCTGGAGTCATATCGCCTTGAAATATTCTGGATAATGCCAAAGCTTCAGATTAGCACGTTTGGCTACGTAGGGTGCGAAAGAAGTTCAATGGACATATACAGTGCCTCCAAGTGCACCACAAGTTTACAAGCTCATAAGTTGGCAGAACACAATAAAGGCAATGCAGGACCCTGCTCAAAGAGTCCTGTGGCTTTCCCAGATAAATAAGTCGTCATTATTCATACCATGTCAATCATTGTAAGAGCCTAACATACATTAAAAAAAATGTACGAAATCCTTTTGCGCACGGATAACTGCATTAATCACGAGGCAAATTTCAGGTTTAATTTAAAGCCCCCTCCCACCCTCGCCGCAGTGCGTAGGCGGTGCGTAGGCGGTGCAACTGCACAGGGGTGATGGAGGGGAGCCGGCCTATGGAGAGACACCCGAAAAGCCAAACAGTTCGCGACAGAAACACAAAGTGACGCCATCATTACCAGGACTCGTTTGCCGGCGAGGAAGGAGACTTCGAGGCCGGCAATGTCAATGTAGACCGCCTTGGGCCGAGACTGGATGAAGGAGCCTGGCACGGGGGAGTTCTTCAGCAAGACGCGCCACGCGCCAGACGACGAGACATTGCGCGTCTTCCTCAGGAAGAATGGTCGGGAAGGGAGGGGGGAGGGTGAGAGAAAGAAACAAACTAAACAAATGGGAGAGGCGGGCAAAAACGAACTGGAATGTGTTATTACAATTGGTAAATGTAAAAAACGGGACGTGGCTTTGAAGACTGAGGCTGCGACGCAAACAGCAATCGCCGTCAACACCGAGGTTGGAAGCGCCGTTAAGAGAGACTTTAAAAACTATCTACGCTGGGAACAGCGTCGCAAACACTCATGGCAACTTATCGTGTGGTCTCACACGGCAATAACCATCTGTTCAGTTCCACTCGTGCCGTCAGTTTTCCCAACAAGGTTGTCCTTTTCTAATGACAACGTGGTGTCCCATTGGCCTAACATCCTAATGCTGACCAAAATGTTTTCCCAACTTGGCAGAACCTTCCTAAAAAAAAAGTAGAGACTCAGCGAGGCTTCCCTGGGTAAAGGAGTACAATCACAAATGAACTTTTTAGTTAAGGGCAGCAGTAATTTCACCCTTGTGGAGATGTCACCACATACTTGTGTATGGGGGATAATAGGAGCATTTAGCAAATTATTTTTACGCAGTTGGCGCACCAGATACTCAAGTGACTAAACATATATGTAGGTGGATGTTATGCGAATGGGAGCAAGCCCATGCAGTCAGAGCACCATGTGACATCTGGCAATTCATTCCCAGGCGTCCAATCCACCCCTCTAAAATCAAGACCACCGGTCGCCCCGCCCCTCCACGATCCCCACTCCCCCTTGTGTGTACCAGTGCATTGTGGGTTAGCAAGGCACGCGGTTCACGCAGTGTACCAGTGCATTGTGGGTTAGCAATGCATGCAGTTCACGCCGTAGTATCTCCCCCACCGCCGCTCACCATGGCCAGCGTGTACGTGTACGTCCCATAGAACTCGTACGCCCGCCCGTCAAACGTGGCGTAGTGCTGGCTTCCGCCGCTCGAGCAGATCACTGTCGCAACAAAAGCAGCAGCAGCAGCAGGCCGAGGACAGCAGAGTGAGACACCCCTCACGAGGGGGAAGGGAGAAGTGTCGTCCAGGCTGCAGGGACATGGACTTTTCCATGTGTGCAACCCCCCGCCGTTGTGGTGTGAACCACGACTCTAGAGGATGGAAACGCGACTGGAGGAGGGGGGCGTCAGACTTCAGAATCGAGGTTTTTTTGGGTTAGAGCGCATAAAAATGTGTTGTTAAACCCGCCACCACAACCAACTTGTAAGGGTTGTCAAACAGAACATGCAAATTCGTCACTAGTACAGCATACTGGTGTCGGGTTTTAACGACACATATTTACGTGATAAAACCCAAAAAACTCTTAGGGATGATATTGGTCGCGAAAGCCTACGTGTTAAACAGAAATCAGAATCTTTAATTTCAGGAGAGACTGCAGAAGGAATCCAATGTGCAACTATAAAAAGCTCTTTTTCGACATATGCCCAACTGGTATGGAGGAGCACCGGGGGGCCAAGTGAAGTTACGAGAGCAAAACAAAACCGATAGGAGCACATAACGTGGGAGAGACGTACTCCAGCTGTGCAGGCAGCCGTGGGTGCCGTACTCGTTGACGCCGCAGTGCTGCAGTGGCGGCTCGCAGGACACGGGCTCGCAGTCGACCCGCTCCCGCTCCAGGCAGGCGCAGTGCTCGCTGCAGTCCTCGTTGAAGAACTTCTCGCCAATCTGCAAAGCCGCCGCCAGCGAGGGTCAAGAGGGAGCGCCGCTGCAGTGGCTAGGAGATGTTAACTACCTCGCCTGGTATTCAGGTCGTGGATTCGAGTCCAACCCCGACGCCTGCTGCTGTATATTTGGAGTTTGCGCGTCTCTATCATCATCATTACGGTGGCTAGGAGATGTTAACTACCTCGCCTGGTATACAGGAGGTCGTGGATTCGATCCCAACCCTGACACCTGCTGCTGCTGTATATTTGGCGTTTGCGCATCTCTCATCCTGTGGTCGCATAGATTTTTCGCCAGGTCGTCCGGTTTCTCTCCACATCTCGAATCAACGTGCGTTTGGAGCAGTGGTTCTTCACCTTTACTGCAGCCTTGCACCCCTTTGGTGATCAAATAGTAAATTTTATTTTTATATCATGTACTCGGGTGACCATGCTCAATTCGTTTTGAGGATTTACCTTTAAAAAAAGAATCTGGCCATGTCTTCTTGGTTCTTTCGGTAAAGTCACATAGAAGGGAAGTAATATATTATATTATTTTTTTTATGTTTTATTTTTATTATTATTATTTTTATTATTTTATTACTTCCCTTCTATGCGACTTTACCGAACACCAACCAAGATGATGAATCCCTGCAGTCACGAAAGCTTAAAATCGAAATCTGGCCATGTCACGCATGCCCAGGGGGGTGCGTACACCAGTCGAAGAACCACTGGTTTAGAGCATTGCGCTGCTATACATTTGTCACGTGATAATCCATTACCTTCGTTTGGGCTTGCTTGGTAAGAAAATAAAAAAGTTAAAAGCTTACGTTGCCAATACCCAACCCCTCACCACCGACTGGCAGCACTTTGTTACCGAGTAGTACTTCCCGTCGACGACGCAACCGCAGGCGGCCGGCTCCACGCAGCGCGTCTTGTCCCAGAGGTGCCCGGGCACGCACACGCAGTCCTCCACCACGGGGTCGCCGCAGTCCAGGCCCGCGTCGGGGTCGGCGCAGGTCGCCGGGCACGAGGAGGCGGCAAGCGACAGCATCGACCGCGGCATCGGCCCGCAGCTCAGCTCTGGGTGGCAACGGCAGGATGCGGCACCAGTTGGTCAAGAACGCTGCATCGCTCGCCTACACACCACCCAGCCCCCCTCCACTGTGGGATAAAGGCCTCCAATCCACGTCACTTTCTCATAATCCTGCAAAAGGCAACAATTCAGCCAGTGCCTGCATAGAACTCCTCATATCATACACGACTGATAGTTTGGTTATCGCTTGCATGGGTGATCACCATGCAGGGGCAGCAAATACAAATTGCAGTCTCAAGGGGCTGGGTGGATGTCAGGGACATTCTGCCAGCTCGTCATGTGACACGGTTGAGTCTCCCAGAAATGTGGTAGCTTTAGGTGCGTCATGATGGCGAAATGTTAACTACCTCACGGGTTCGATCCCAAACCCCCGCTATATTTGGAGCTTGCATGTTCCCCCCCACCACATCGCTCCACATTTCAGAGACACGCGATAAGATAATTTGGTTGCCATACATTTCCATATGATCTGCCGCTTCGTTGCGCTATCCATTTGTGGCTACATCGCCTCTGAAAACAAGCTATATTAGCCCTTAGGCAGGCCCGACCCAGCTTAAATAACGGTTTAAGCTTTCGCCACCATCGCCGCCATCCTCACCACAGCCGGTGACTGTGCGCCAGCGCGGGTCGACGGGCACGCCGGCGGCGTAGCAGTCGTCCGAGTAGGCCTGCAGCGCGAGGCAGAGCGCCACGTAGGCCTGCACGCCCTCCTCCGCCGACATGTCGTACACGCAGTCCGAGAAGTACGGCGCCGGGCTCACCGTGCCGGCGCACGCGGCCAGTGGGCCCCGCGGGTCCGTCAGCAGGCCGCACCGCCGCCCCTCGGAGGCCACGGCCACCAGGCTCGCGTTGAGCTGCAGCAGCGACGAGGAGCCGTCGTCGGGAACGCCGCTTGAGTGCCGTGGGCGAGGAGATGTGAAGGAGGCAAAACGGACAAGTTGGGGAGCAGTTGACGCGCGTACATGCGCTCGCTTGACCAGTCAACGTGCGCGTTTAAGCAAACTTGCCTACCCCACTTGTTCATAACCGGGTGGACGTCTCAGAAACCTGCCCCCAGTTATATTCCACTGCCATGCTGGGGAGATCTAAAAAAACCGGCATTCCAAAGTCCAGTCCATGAACCATTGCACCGGTTGCAGCAAAACAAAAATAAACTTTAAGGGGCCTGCGACGGTCAACTTGGCACAGTCTTCATTCTACTTCCTTATGGCCAACGTGGATGCAGAGCAACGACTACAACTGCACCATGCGGCATCCCTTTACCTCATGCGGATGCTGCCGCTGATCCAGTAGTTGCCGAAGTCGTGCGCCGTGAGGGTGGCACCCTGCCCAGGCAGCTGCCAGTCGTCGTCCTTCCTCCCGTTGTAGTTCCCGCAGAGCCCGCAGAGGGCACCCCGGTAGAGGGCAGAGTTCTCCAGCTCCACCACCACACGAGAGGCTGCAGCGGGGTAGGTGGGGCGAGAATAAAAGACAATGCACATAACTCCTTGTAAAAAAGGTGTCCGTTTGGTTGTCAGATAAAAGGGTAAAAAAGCAATTATCATATTTTTCTACTGGCAAAGGAGGTTCCAATGGTGCAAATGCTTAACCCGAGCTCTCATACTCTGATGGTGCATTGTCTTTGAGTTGTGCGCCTTTTGGTGTCATCTGGTCCAACACCATGTGAGACTAGTCTCTAAAGAAAGCCGTCTCGGGTGTGGACCAATCAATTTTAAGGACAGTGCATACATTATCAGAGTTGTGTTTTTTGTTTGCATTCCGACCGCAGGTATTGTGGTCAATGCAAACATGACTCCTTGTAACAAAGGTGTCAGTTTTGTTGCCAGATAAAAAGGGTAAAAAAAATTATAAGTGTCGTTAAACCCACCACTACGACAGCCAATTAGTTAGGTTTGTCACGTAACGAATTGGCATGTTCTGTTCATGTGACAAAACTTGGCTGTGTTGGGTGGCGATGGTTTAAGACATTTATATTTACGCGCTGTAACCCAAAAAACCTTTCATGGATCGTATCAAGCGGTCACATTGGAGAGACTCGCGATCCAGGAAGGTCGCCGGTTCAATCTTCCAGTGCGCCGCTACAGCAGCGACAGTCTCCCCCCCCCCCCAACCCTTGCGGCAGTAAAAATCGCGTGTTCGTAAATGGCAAGCAGGGAAAACGCGAGGAGTTCACGAGTTGCCTCCTTGCGCCAGAGGCCGGGCGGATCGCCATGTCGGCAAGCCGCGGGGAGGACTGCGACGGCTTGGTGACGGGGCCTTCCATCCAGCAGTGGATTGCAGCCATGGCCGATTACTGTACTGGTCCACAATTGTCGGATTCGTGCATAAATTTATAAATTAAAAGGAAGTTGTCACCGACACAAACCAGCGTTTGGCCGCAAACTAAAAACAGTTGCCATTGGTAGACGTGCACACACACCATGCACCTGCTTTGCCTGCAACAGCCCCATTGTGAAGAATTACCGCTTGGAGTGTAAACGCAATAAAAACAGAACTCTGATATCACATTTCAAAATGGAGAAACAAAAAGGCTTAAAATGAAATGACCTTCGAAGTAAAACGACACCAGAGATCCCACAGAATATTCAGCAACAGCCACTTCTGAAAAGAGAAGCTTATAGCGTAGGTGGGCTGTACCTGGTAAGAAATTTAGTATTTGTAGATTGTCAGCGCTTTATTTATTGTCCACTATATACCGCACTCCTATCGCGTTTTTGTACCACTTCTTGTAACGTTCCAATCCATTCCCCTACTGGGCATCCTTTATAGCGCATCGGATTACTCCAGTACAAATAAATATTCCATTTCTGAAACTCTGGGCACTACAGGGCCACGTCTGGCCAAGACAGCCGTGGTCAGGATTTAATGGGGGAACGGGCACCCTAGTTTTGCGCTATATTAAATGTTACCAGCCATGACGATGCAAAACTTCCCCATTGGTGATTGACATGACAAGCTCATGCTCTTCATGGAAACACCCAGCGTTTTGTTTGAACGCGAGATATTTGAACCCCCCCCCACCCATACACCCAACCATCAATTATCCTACGACTGAAGATGCATCTGTAAATGCAGTGATCTTCGCTCGGACTCATTGGCACGAAGTCGCGTAACCGAAGCTGCTGCCAAGAGTGCCTGATGACACGCAAGGAAGGGTCCCAGCACTTATGGTTGAGGGGCCTCGAGCAAGACAACGCCCTCCCATTGACCGTTTCTCCCCCACTGCCCATGCCCAATGCTATGGACATTCCGTGTCACTGTTGTTTTTAGAATGTGATTATGCGAATTGTAAAAAAGGTAAAAATTTAAAACCTAACCATTTTAATTTCAGCACAACTGGTAGTACATTTTTTTTTACACCGGTAGGGCAATGGCTTGGTTATTAAACTACATTATGGGATGCGTCACAGCTGCAACAGTATTGCATTTTAAACATTATATAAACCAAATTAATATTTTTAGGGGACGTCAAAATCCAAGGTTCCAGGGCACAGAACCAACAGCTTCTGGCTTGCAAGGTCACGTGTACTCACCATTACACGCCACTGCGGGAGCATAGTCCATGGAAAACCACAAATCCTGAGACCACTAATTTTGGATTGGCATGAAAAGGACCTCAGTCTAGACACTTCTGCGAGACAACAAATAAAACCACAGGAACAGAACGTCGCGTTCCAAATTGTGACGTCGTTAAAGTCTCATTTGGCAAAACCTCAGGTTGCAGCAGCAGCAAAAAAAAGCCGTCAGCCCCAAATTCTTGTACAGGGAAATCGAGTTCAGGTCCATATGGCGTAAAGCCGTTTCAAATACGGGCACCAAAATGTTGTTTCTCCCTTGTGATGGGACTTTGTAGGATGAACGTTGAGATTTATAAGTGATATGGGGCGAGCAATAAGGTCCAACTTGGTCTGTTATAAGGTAGGGCACCGATAAAGGGGTCGACAGGTATGAAAAGGCAACTTTAAAAAACGTGAGAAACGGCACACGCGTCATAGGTAGTCCATACAAAAACACATTCTTTACCTCGGGATCTATTGGGATTTGGAGCTCGGAGGAGAAATCACGCGACCTCCTCCGTTTGCCATGCTGGCATTTATCGGTGCTATTCGCTAAATGGAACTTGCCCCAGTCTTGTAAGGCTGTACGAGGGATCCACCTTCTGTCCGTTTAAGCGATGGGAAGAGTCCCCAAGATCGGCATGGGGTGAGCAAAACGCCACATAGCAAGGCAGACGAGTCAGGAACTGAACACAGGAGCTGCCTCCCGTGGGAGGCACGATTTTCACCACCGTGCCGGCTCTACATTCTAAAAAGTTTCCAACTTCGGGTTTTTGTTTAGAGTTAAGTTTGTTTTACACATGTCAGCCTTTAAAAGTTAAAAGGTTAGATCCAGAAAGAAATGCAATCCCTCATACCTTGGGCATTTCCTCCCACATGCAAAGCACACGTGAAACAGGCACTTCTAACGCTGCGAAATGTTTGAATTGAAGAGAAACTTGGACAAATAAGAGTACTTACAGATTGGAAATAGATAAGGTTAATAATAATACCGAATGCAATTCGATAGAAAAAGCAGCAACTGCCGTCAATGCATCGGTCCTCCCATCATGCCTTGCTTGTTAAGGTGACCGCACAACACGGCATGTACAAATCAAACTAAACAAAGGTTTGTTGTTATTAGACCACGGGGCCCATATCACACCAACGTAGACCCGCACCGGAACACTGCAAACAACCGAGACACTTCTCCTTTGTTCATCTTCGTAACCTTGACTGGCAGTGCCCACACCACGCAAGTGGTCACATTCACAAACCCGGAGCTTACATTCGGCAACATCCTGCGTTCGACCTGCATTGCGATCGACTCCCCTTCCCCCAAAACCCAAACACAAACACACCCCCCCCCCTCCTCCCAGCCACTCTGGGGCTTCTGGCCAACTTTCTGGTAGAAGTTGGCACAAACGTGGCATTGGAGCTACAAGCAGGGAAAGGAGAAAAGTAACACGTTTGGGGTGGAGCCGCGACGCTCGGTGCAGTCTCCAAGACCAGCACGCTCTCACACCTGTGACCTTTGACCTCCATCCTGCTTTGTGTTCATGTTATCCACCTCCCCAACCACAATGCGCAGAGTTGTCTACGTACGGTGCAAAGCTCAACATCCCTCCATCCAAAACACTCCGCTCCCCCCTCACTCCAACAGCCCCCCCCCCCTTTGCTGCCAATTCAATCGTCGAGTGCCAAACCCCCCCCCCCCCCCCCCCAACACCAGGCTCGTTCAGCTGTTGAGGTGCCCCCTCCTCCGCCAGTCCCACTCTACAAATAGCCCGACATTCGTCATAATTTGTTTGTATCCGGCACGCGACTTGCGTTACACGCACACGCACCTTGGGATGCATCCAAAAGCGGATGAAAAAAACCTCTAAAGTTCTCTGCTAAAACTTGTTCCTTCGCAAGCTTTGTGCACGAGGCAGCCGCACAGATCAATCCACCCCCCCCCCCCTCCCTTCATGTGATGATTACATGGTCAGAAAAGTTAGAGATGATTGTTGCCACACCATTTTGGAATTTTGGAAAAAAGGATCCAAATCTGGGAGAAAAAACGATTTCCGCTTGCCCGAGTAGGTAACTGGGATCGCAGCATTTGTGTGTTTAACACCAGCTTTTGCAACCACTACCATCAATAATATAGGTTTTGGGTTAGATCTAGGTCCAAATCTGGGATATTTATATTTACGTGATCGACCCCAAAAACCTCTATTATGGAGGCATTTGTGCCTTGGCCATGTCTACAAAGGGGAGCATGACAACTCTTGCTATGGCGATGCAGAATGAACACCACTTGATTACCAAGTTGGTGCCACTTGGAACTTTGCCCATCAAAAAAAGTCAAAAGCGATCAAAAGATTGCCATGTCCTGTGGCCTACAATAAGTCACGCAAATGCAAAGGCAAATTGGCCCCATGGTGAAGTTTTGCAGCCCCATGCGATACACGCACGGTTTTTCTTCCTTGCGGTTGTGGCACTTTTGGTTGTAGCATCCTTTCGTCAAGGCTCGCCACCTTCCTAATTTTTGGTCAGCCAAGTCACTCTCGTGTATAGTGTGGGTCGAGTCTAACGAGTAATGTATATCAAAACCGAGGCCATTTAAGAGGGTTGGTTCATCTTTAAATTTTAGACAAGCTCCCCCTGCCTGCTTTCACATCGTAGCGTATTTCTGTACAAACACGGTGCGCCGACACTATACCCCAGGACGACCCCATTGTCCCCACCTCGCACCTGAGGCTATGCGTACCCGCACACACAAAGATCCCCCGTATAGCGTTAGACTGTGGGGGAAAGTGCTGTTAGCGAGCACCTATGAAGGCCGGAACGGTACACGAGGGGGTGGGTGGCCAGCACCACGCCCGACCGCCTTCGTCTCCCCAGTGGCGATGTTTACACACCGCACCAGGTACTCAACTGAGGCCGAGTCGACCTAGGGGAGGCCCAGGACCGGTTCAAATAATCGTCACTGGTGTTGGCCGTGAGCGGGAATCGAACCCGGGTCGCCAGGTTCATAGCGCAGCGCGCGACATGTTACACTACCACTCCCCACACACTTAAACAGGCACGTTTACCACCCACTTTTGGGCTACATGCACACGGAGACCGAGGCGATGCTCGACGTCGCTCTAAGTTGGATGCTTTGGAAGTGTACGGGGACCGCTCTTGTTCCCTGCTGGCTGGAGCTCGAGAGCAGATCGAGCTGGGGGTTAACCTCCATTCATCCTCCGCCTATCTCCTGGTGGAGGTGGGTGGTCCCTATTTATGGGAAGCTGGTCGCACGGACGGTGATTGACACCTTGTGGGTTGCAGTATCTAGTTTTCATCACCCGCTTTTCTCTAATACAGGTGGACCCCACCACCCCCCGTGTTCTGCCTTGACACGTATTGTGCCGCCATGGGACAGCGGTGTTGTGCTTAAAAAACGGCCCCATTCTCACCGCCAAACTTGACGGAGAAGTGGAGGTTGGTGCGCAGCACGAAGTAGTGATTGGAGCTGTAGATCTTGAACTTGAAGTCCGGTTCCATGTACGGCATGTTAACGAAGGCGCCGTCCACCTGAAAATAAACAAAATGCATCGCACGTGTTAACAATGCGACGTCACAACCGCAGGTAGACCCTTGCCACCCCAGCTTCGTGAAATGGGTCCTTGCGGTTTTCACAAAGCAGTGGCCAATACTGTAACTTTGAGCGCAGGGAAACGTACAAATCTTGAACGTTCAATAAGAACATTGGGTATTGGACGTCCTCAACTGTCATACAAACCAACTCCCGTTCCTGCCTCCCTACCCTTACCACACTAGAAACCCCGAAGGACATTTGGACCAAGTTTCTCTGTACACAAAATAAGCAATTTGGCTTTTCAAGCCAGGGCTCAGCAGTGGCCGAGTGCAAGGCGTGCGTGGAGTGTGACAAGGAGACATTTGGAGTGCTCAAGACGCAGAAGTCGTCCCCTTAACCCCTTCTCGTTCCGAGACATCTGCAAGTTGCAGGGTTGTGTGGGCGTCTCCGTTCACTGACGAATCTCGGAATGCACGAGTGGCCCAGCGTTTAATTTTATTGAGAGGCGCCGGGTGCCGTTGTTTTTAAAAATACATTGTTACCCACGGCAGAGAACCGTAGAGACACGACTGCACTCTACGATAACTGGTGCCAAAACTGTGCACACGCCCTCCCACATGGCCTTGTGAAGATACCGATAAAACCGTTTTATTTTTAGTTTCGCCTTTAAGATTCCGGAACCAAATTGGAAGGAAAACAAACAATAAACCAGACCGACGTAGTGACGACCTTATCGGAACAGGAAAGAGGTTAAATTAAGCCAATGTTGCGCAAGCCCCCCATCCCCCCCCCCCCCTCAACCTCTGCAGCATCACCTTCACATAGCCCTGCTCCAGGGTGACCCTGTAGCCGTGCACCTCGACCACGACCGACTCCATCCAGCTTACGCGGCGGCTGCCCCAGTGCTCGCTCTTGCCGTACACGGCCCAGCCCTCGTCGTCCGTCCCCGTGGGCTCGCAGAAGCCGGCAAGCAGCACGGGCTTGGTGCCCATGTAGTCGAAGAGGCGCCCGTCAAACGACTTGAAGTGCGGGTCGCACTGCGCGTAGCACGACGCTGCAGGGGGCAGCAGTGCGACGCGCCGGAAGGTCGCACGGCGGGGACGGGAATAGTGGGAAAGGTTTAAGAAGTCAATGGTCAAACACCATTTGTACTATTTTTATTTTACCAGGTAAGGTCCACCGGAGCAAGAGTTATTTTTCAAAAGCGACCCTGGGCTTTCACAAATGATAGCTCTATGAAACGGATTATCACTGAACATTTATAGCAGACAAGTATTCTGAAACGCAATGTCGATTCTAAAATGTGCAGGGGGAAAACTGACCCGGAGAAAAATCCACGCAACCATCACAGTGAAAGGATAGACTCCAAATATACAAGAACGGGCATCGCCAGGGCCGGGATCAAACCCACAACCTCCTGCGCAAGAGGGAGATGCCACCTCTGGCCAGCTACTTACCCAAAGCCCCTGCGCCATTTGTTCAGCATCAGAATCTTTATTTCGACTGAAGGAATCTAATGGAGCTATGAAGCTTTTTCACAGACATCAAGTATAGGCAGTCAGCAAGTCGCAACCACAAACAATACAAAAACCGATAAGTGCAAGAGAGACAAAAAAGTCCAATAAACACAATAGCCGATAGCGCCTGGCCACCTTTGGGTCTGTGCACCGCCCTTACCGTACACCTTGCGCGGCAGGGCGAAGACCCAGTCGCAGGCCGTGCGCGGCTGGGAGTTGATGCGGACGTTGCTGGCCTTCAGCTGCACCACGCCCTCGTCGAGGGTCACGCAGTAGCGCTCGCCGCCGCGCAGCGAGAACGGCGGCGCCGCGAAGGCGACGGTGCGCGGGGCGGGCGACGCTCGCACGGCCGCAGTGCGCGCGTCCAGCCGCAAGGCCTCGTGGCCGCTGCGCACCGAGACCAGGCGCACGAAGGCCGCGACGCGCGTCGGCGAGAACTGTGCAGGAGAAGCGGTGGGGGGAGATGATCTGATGATGATGAACTTCTGTTCGCTTGCCAGAAGGCACAGCAGCTAACTTCATAGCCTTGTTCTTCTGCAACTTTCCATCCCATCGTCCTGCTACAGACTTATTTTCGCACTGTACGTAGTCAGTGTTAAAATCGGGAGGTACGAGGGAAGGTCAACCTGAACAAAAAGAGTTCTAAAAAACGAGTTTTCAATCTAAAGGATTTAAATTGCATCGCTCCAGTGGCTTTCTAATATTGGAAGGAAGAGCATTCCAGACGGCCGCAGAAGTGCGTCCGATCTCACGTGATGTGGTGACCGTCTTTATTTGATGGATATCCAAAAGCTGCTGCTATGAGGGTGACCGGAGTTGTGCGATTGTTTATGTTCCTTGACGAGATCCGCAAGGTATTGCGGTAAATTTGTGGTAAGCACTGGTTGTAATGGACATACAATGCATTTGTTTAGCAACCTCAAGCCAATGCAGCTCCGAGGGCACTGGACCGACACGGTGGGATCTTGCACATCCCCAGCATGGAACCCGTCTCCACACATATGGGCAAAGTCGTACGCAAAACCTCCCCACCCTATCCCCCCCCCCCAGCCCACGCCATTCCATTCCTGACCCAGAAAACATCCTCGTTAGAAACTAGAGGCCACTGCCCACGGCCGGAAGCAGACGACCCTCACCTCCTGGTTGAACGTGACGGTGAAGTTGACGGTCTCCGCGTTGCTGCGAGCGTCCACCACGGTGAACCCCGTGGCCCGGAGCTCTCCAGGCGGCATCAGTCCACGGCGGGGACGGCCGCTGTGATGCCCTCCGCCTGCATTGTGGGACCGATACAGGCGGAATTGCACGATGAACGCTCCCGACGCGACAAGTGCACGTGCTGGGCACTCGCAATGCGGGCAAGGCACGTTGGCCACTGGCTGGAGGTTCAGAGTTCAATTTCAGTGGCCACCTTGGTTCTTACTTGGTGTATTAACCGTGATACGACTAGGACTACTTGAACAGCATATGCTCCATAGCGGACATTAACAGATTCCGGGTGGCTTCATTCGCAAAGCATAAGCCACTTGTGTGGCAGAGTCGTGGTACATTTTTTGTAAATTAGAAAAATTACACTGCAAAATTTTGATCGGAATTTTACACAATCACCCCCCCCCCCCCCCGGAAATATTTTTTGGTAGTACCCTTCTGACGGAGTCGCTCAAAGCTTCGAGGTAAACAAGCACGACACAAACAACAAAATCACTAAACCGCATGAGGGACAACCAGGATGGTCATTGACAATGGTGGAGCGAGAGCCACGTTTTGGCGAGGGGCATCGCTGGGGGATGTCCAGTTCCATCCCCCCCCCACCCCTCGCCCATTTAGGCACCATCACCGGTCCAGTTTAAAGGTCGTACCCAGGAGTCTTGCGCCTTTGAACGAGAGCCACTTCTTTGCCGTGACGACCACGGTAAAACACCTCATCTCGCTCTGTCGCCTGAAACGAAGGCACCGTCCCATTAGGGATGCACTCTTAAAAAATAAACACGAAGCCATGAAGTTTCACACCTAGGCTTTTCACGACCAAAATATAATCTAACCCCCCCCAAAAAACAAAAACGTTATCACCAAGCCATTAACGGTGAAACTTCCGCTGTGGCTCGAGCACGACCGGGAGTTTTTGTTTCTATCGTCACGCATTAGGGCATTCATCAATACCCATCGTTGTACTTGCATTACGATCTCACATCTATGCTCTCTGCCTTCACCCATCCGCACCAATCACGGTGGTGATCTCACGGGATATGGAGGCCCTCCTCCTGCAGTGGATTGACAGAAGGGCTGTTAAATGTAAATTCTCATTCATGCAAAGTGCATTCGAGATTTGCCTTTGGCCCAAGTTACACGTGAAATGGACCTCATCAGATCTCAGAAGCCATAATAAGGCTTGGACCTACGTGTAGACTCGTCATTGCACGCACCACAGCTCCAGTGGAAAAACGTTGCCCTCCTCGTAAGCCACGCCAGCTCCAATGTCAGTGAACAGGACCCACCAAGGCATTATTTATGGGCTACGACCGAACAGGTGTACTCAACCAGGCTGCACAGTTCAAATACAGCGAAGCTCCACCCACACAGAAAAAGGCTGCATCAGTTTTACATTAAGACCTCAGTGGAGCGGTACGTCATGCACAAGTAAATTGTTACATCAGTATGTTTTTTTATTTAATTGGTGTTTGAATCGTTTTGTACTTTTTTGCAATTATTATTTCTGATTTGTCCCGCGACATCTCCGGTCGGCACGGTTGGCTACTTGCGGCGCTCAAGAAGTTCCACGTGCCCACCTCACGAGCAAGGCGTTTCTGCATTTCCGGCGTACTTTTTACGTTTTGGGGAAGAGGCATTTATTTTGAACCGGGGTCACCACGTAAAAAAAGACACCCCCCACCCCCCCTTAGTCTCAACATGCTACGACACCGTTGAATACAAAGGCAATCAAAAATCGGTAACCAGTTGTGCTTTTAAGATCGTGACGTAAAAAATTACTGGGCCAATTGCAGGGGTGAAGTGCCCCATTGAAGTCAGTTGCAGACAAAACCCCCACGATTTCCATTAAGAGCAAGCTTTAGCCCATTTACAGCGTGTAATGTTGTACAAGCCTTTATCCATTTTAAAAGAATACATTGTACTGTAAATAAGTAAAATTAATGTAGGATTGTACATTTTGCTTGAGCATAGAGGTTTTGGGGTTAGATTGCGTAAATATAAATGCATCGTGAAACCCATCACCACCTGACCACAGCCAATTAGTAAGGCTTGGGCGTGTTTATATTTACACGATCCATCCCAGAAGCCTCTACAGATAACATGGTCGCGAAAGCCTACGTGTAAAAATGTTGAGCGCTTAGTAACAGTGCATTTTTTGCTGGACAAACCAAAATCACTTCGCCCATGGTGACAACTGCATAAAGAAAACGGCAGTTGGGTGGTGGAGGGCTGGAGAATAAAAACGTGGCATTACAGCGACATGGCGCCAAACCAAAAACGGACACCAATTATGAACTTTAAAAATAACTATAACAAGTACAGTGGAGGAAACCTAGACTCGAAAAAGGCCAATTACGAAGCCAAAATAAAATTCCATCGGTAGCTACCGTTTCATACGTGGGGCCTGTCTGGGATGTGACGCGTCTGCAGAGTGAAGCCCGAAGTCAATGACGTCATTCCGTTGAGAATGTTTCTTTTAGTTTCAGGTACCTCCCAAAGGAAAAAAAACTCCCTCCACACAACAATGCAGGGGCCACTGTACATCCACAATTGCACCGAGGAGACTGCACTGCTGCCTCCCACCTCAGCCAGCCCCCCAAGGGAAGGAGGAATGTAGAAGTTCCACTCCTGCTGGTTTGAGACGATGTGGGGGCAGGGGGGGGGTAGCAAACCAACCCGGCGGAGTCCTCCACGTAAAAGCAAATCCTTCTCGAGCTGCCGCCACCGTCCCCCGCGGGCGAAACCCACAGCAGGGTCGTGCGGAGGAGGCCTGGGGTGGCGGGGTCGGAGACCACATCGCCGGCGAGTGCCCCGCCGCACACCACCAACAGCTCCGCTGACGGCCACCTGCTGGGGGTGGTGGGGGGAAGAACCGGCCATGGGGGGACAAGTGCTGTTCAAGAGCTTGGCACTTTAAGGGCAGCACGGCACGAGGGGGTGGGTGGCCAGCACCACACCCCCAGCCGCCCAAGTCTCCCCAGGTGGCTATATTTAGTCACACCAAGTAGTCATTTAAGGCCGAATCTACCTAGGGGAGAGGCCCAGGACGGGTTCAGAGAATCGTCACCGGTGTTTGTCCATGAGCGGGAATCAAACTCGGGGTGGCAGGGGTCGCAGGGTTCACAGCGCGCTAACCGTTATGCCGCTTGCGTCGACACTCACGCGTACTGCACCATCATACGGATGGGGGGGGGGGGGATGAGCCACAGGTGATCCGCGACTTCATTTCCACACGGGGGGTGGGGGTCAGTGGCCCGCGAGAGAGACGTCACTCACAAAATCAACAGCCACACAAAGTTGTAATTTGCAACAATAAACAGAACAGCGGTAGGGGCGGTCACGACCGACCAATATCGCAATTGGAAATTCATTTTTTTTTGGGGGGGGGGGGGGGGGGGTCAGGCAACCCATGCATCGGTCGTACAGCCCTCCCGAATGGACAGCTGCTGTACGACGACGCTGGCTGAAGGAGTCGCAGCCGCCGCTCACCTGCCGCCCTGCGAATGCCGGGACACCGAGACGTCGACGGGGACGTCCAGCCGCGTGCCGGCGACCACGCGGAAGACTGCGCCGTGCTTCGGAGTCTTCCCGGTGAACGCCGGCTCCACAGAGCAGTCGCCATCCGCCTGGGAGACGACTTGGGAGAGAGGCGGACAATCGCAAAGGGCCGAAAGCTACATGACATTTTGGTTATTACAAGAAAACTATCAGATTATTTATAACTGGAGAGGAAGCCAATGAGCTACAAAGTTGGTTGGCAAATACAAGGCTTTCCAGGTCAGCCAAGGCACACAAGGCACTGGCGCCTTGGCCTTTTAGGACTAATTGCTAGGAGAGCAAGCACAGCCAATGTGGTGGCAAGGTCACGGCATCAGGCCTGCCCATTCTTGTCACGTGCCAATAGACATTTTACACGCTGCACCAGATACTCAATTAAAGTTCAACTCAACATCGCTGTATACCTGTCAACCCCTTGTATCAGTGCCTACCTTAGACCAATTCACACGTTATTAGTCACGCCGTGCCCTTATAAATCTCAACGTTCATCCTACAAAGTCCCATCACAAGGAAAAACTTAAATAATTAGTTTTAGTGTTTTGCCCGTATTGAGACGGCTGCACGCCATATGGACCTGAAAACCAAATTTCCCTATACAAGTATACGGGGTAAACCGTACGAGTTGACAGTTTTGTAGATGGGCACCAGAGGAGTTGAGATGCCACTCACCACCAACGCGCATCACAAACGCGAGCCCAACCCTGGATAACGGCGCAGTGGAGACCCACTGCATTAGCGCACCACTTCACAACCGAGGATAAACGTGGCACCGGTTCAATGTCCGACGTTTCATTTACCTATCAGTGTAAACTGCAACGGCACGGACGACAAGGCTCGAGCCTTCGCGGGGCCATTCGGGCCCTGGGAGGACGATGCGGGGAAATCTTCCACCACCACAGAGACGACGAACTTCCCAGGGACGGCGTGCCGCGAGCTGCCAAACGTGAACGCGCACTCCTCCTGCACCACCACCACCACGCGGGCAACCGTTAGGAGCAGAGACAACATCCACCCTTTTGCTATAGTGGCCATGGACAGTGCCTAATCGACTGATTGCTAATCGACTGATGGTAGTTCTAATCACCAGCGAAACGTATTCGAATTGTAAATGTTGTGGTTTTAACTCTCCAACACACCTGTGTGCTGCAGTAGTAACCAGTTGGCACGTTTTGTTTACACGACACGCCTTACTAATTGGCTGTGTCGGGTGGTGGTGGTTTTAACGACACATTTATATAATCTAACACAAAAACCTTCATTTAGAAATATTGGTTGCGGAAGTCTACGAGTAGGTGTCAACGTGGCTGAAATGCTCTTCCTGCTGATATTAGGAAGCCACCGAGAGCCATGCACTTTTAAATCTAGGATTGAAAAAAAGCAGTTTTTTGTTTGCATTATGGCTGCAGGTATTGTGGTCTATGCAAACATGACCCCTTGTAAAAAAGGTGTCAGTTTTGTTGCCAGATAGAAGGGTACAAAACCAATTAGCATAACCAAAGAGTACGTTCAGTTTAATGGTTCATAGATTTGGGTTGAGCCCGCTGACCTCGTGCAGCGTAATGCCGGGCACGGCGGCGTCGCACGCTCCGCACTCCTCTTGCGTGGCGTAGCGGCACCGCACGAGATCCCCGTCCTCGTCCCACGTAGAGACCCTCAACGGCCGAAGGCACCGGCTGCTTATCCTGGCGCGCAGGACGGACACCGGCACGGAGATAAAAACGAAGCCTGGTCGTGGGAAGGTGCCGACAACCCGAGGACATTTGGAGGTTGGGGACAAAGGGAGAAGTTGCCCCACTCCCCGTCAACTTCTTCCCGCACCCCCAACAGGTTACCCAGGAGATCGACAGCCGTTTAGGGTCAGACCTTCTGAAAAGCCATGCACATAAATTAATATTACAAACCATTAATTATTCTTGGGGAGGTGTATTTAATTTTTTATCCATCTAACAGTAGTTCCTAACTCGGGGTGTGAGATACAGCCATTTGATTCTCAAAGGGCAAGGCTGCAGTAAAAAGGCTAAGAATCCCCAATCTGACAAATTCAGTAACTGGTAGTACGAGCAAAACTCCGTTTCACTTGATTTCGCAGCATTTGCCGTCCCCCCAGAAACGTTATTAGCGCCACTGCCCAAAAAAACCCACAAAAAGGTGTGAAAATGACCCAGCGGCACAGTGTTCGCCTTCAATTGCAACGGTTTGTGGGTCAAATCCAATGGCCACCCCCTCTGATTCGTGCGGGTGTATAATCACCACACTACTTGCCATGGTAGACCTTAAAAGCTCTCCCCCCCCCCCCCCCCCACCGATGCCACTAGCAAGGGCAGGCCATTGTAAGCCACCATTCAGGGCCCACATTTACCAAACTTGGGAAAATGACCCACAAAGTACACAATTGGTATTACATCAAAATCGTCGCCCGCCCCCACCAATTAAAATCTATCGCCACTGGCAGACTGCGATACGGTTAATTATCCCCATGCGAACCGCTTGTGCCAATTTCTATTGACTTGATCATTGTTCTTAATTGTTTTGCTTTGCTTATATGCCTTGCTGCCGAGGTGCTCTCCCTGGGTTGCACAAAATAAAAAGCAACTTGAAAGCGATCTCGTAGATGACAACGGTACAAGCGTCAACCCTTGTGTCAGTCAACCCACTTGCTGGAAGAGGCCCCCCCCCCCCACGCGGTGTCGAAGGGATTTAGTCGGCTCTACTTCACCATGCTGGTCAGTGCGCGTTGGCGATGACAAAGCGGCGTGGACGTCAAGCAGATTTTTCCCGCATCGCCCATCCACTTACCCACCATGGAGGCCTGCAACCTACAAGCTGTTCGTGCACGTTGGACACACGTGCACAAGCTAGCCAGGCTCATCCCCGCTTGGCTTCCGAGATATGAAAACCGGGTGCGTTTCAAGCAATTTGGTCATGGGGAACGATGCAACTAGAACGGAATAAAATCGCCAAGAAGCAACGTTCAATCTAGATTTAGCTATGTGGGATAACATGTCAACATGGCAACCGGTATTTTTCATATTAATTTGCTTTATAAATCATGCGTGACTTAACAATTAAAATGTTCTTATCGTGACAAAGCACAGAACAATGTGCAAATGTTATGGGACACATTTAAAAAACAGTATAGCAAAGAGTGCATAATGAAGTGCTCAAACCCCATTTCTCGTCAAAACATTAAAAGCTATTAGATTAGTTCGTGCGACCGGTTGCAGAACCAACTCCCCACCCCCAACAACTTTTGATCAGTTGCCAATTCGAAGTCGGTAACATTACAGAATTATTCTTGCATTGCGCAACAGTTTCAAGTGTGGGTCGCTCACCACCACCAACAAGAGAATTTGTAAAATAATCTCCCAACAAGCAAAACTGTCAGATTTTTCATTACGAAGTTGGAATGGAGCCATGGGCCTTTTTAGCACAGGAATTCTGGTCGCCAAAGAAAAAACCGATGCCCTCCCTTTGAAAAAAACCCTTCGTTTTAAAGACAAAGATCCCCCGTATAGCCTTTAGACTGTTGGAGGCAAGTACTGTTTGAGCACCTGAAGGCCAGGGGCGGCACACCCGGCCGTGCTTAGAGTCCCTAATGGCGATATTCACACCGCACCAGATACTGATTTGAGGCCGAGTCGACTTAGGGGAGGCCCAGGACCGGGTCAAATAATCGTCACGGCTGTTGGCAGTGAGCAGGAATCGAACCCGGGGGTCGCTGGATTCTTAGGGCAGCAATCGCTGCACTACCGCTCCATTTCATAAAGGTGTAGCCGTAATCACACGTGCAACCAGAAATACTTTATACAGCGTTCCGTGCAACAGCTGCCACTTGTACGAGACCCTGGCTATGAATAAACAAACCACAGAAAGCAGTCAACGTCACACTGCCCAAAAAGATGTGTACAAAATTGAAGGTGGCGATCTTAGACAAATCACAAGTGCGGGGCAATGCAAAGCAAAGGGTATGAAACGCTTGCAAAGGCGTCTCCAATAGGTCGGTTGCTCGCCCTTTATCAGGCCTCACGAGATCAGACGTCCTCTTAAAAGATTTAGTTGCTGGGATATGGCGATGTTGATATGTCGTACGATGCAATGTACATAATCTTAGTGCATTTTGAAAAAGCTCATGTCGTGGCTTGTACGTAAGATTTTATTTATGTCTTATAATTATAAAAAGCAAATATGGCAAGATTAAAAAAGTGTGAAATGAATAATGATTAGCAATTATCAAGTGCCTTGCAAAACCTATTTATGGAGTAATTGACAGAACAGCAGCTGCAGAAGCCGATTATTTTGGTAGTGAATTTAATTGGAGGGTGTAACCGATAGCATGCGTAGTACAAGAGTTCTAGGCCAAAAAAGTTGCAACGATTAGGATTGTTTTGGCAGGCTTATATCGAGGTGGTCGAGAAACGCAACTAATCTGCACTCGCACTGCAAGTCCAGTAAAGGTGCGACAACACGACCACACGAAATACATAATCGCACTGCAAGTAAAAAAAAAGTAAAAAAAAAGTTTAAATATTTAAAAGTAAAAAAAGTCAAAAAGTCAAAAATGTAAATAGCATGGCAAAGTAAAAAAAGCAACCCAAACAGAGGACTCCAGAGATGTGATAAGTAGTCCACTGGTAAGCCAGCACCGAGATGGGAGGGTGGCAGGTAGATCACGCAAAGCTTGCACCTGCCACAAATCTCCACCCCAGGTGGCCTCAACATCACCAACAAGAGATGCCCCAACCAGAGGTCGCAACCAGGTACCCGATACCCGTACCCTACCCGATACCCGGCTACCCGTACCCGACTGGGTACAGCGTAGCCGTTTGCGACCCTGGTGCGGCCGGGTACGGGTAGGCCGTGAGTTACCGTTTGTCACTCATTTCGGGTAGGGTACGGGTACCCGTACCCATTTTCGACCCTGGTGCGGCCGGGTATGGATAAGGAATCAAAACCCGTTTGCGACCTCTGGCCCCAACCCACCTGAGGACCAGCGGCAAGGCTGCCCACGGTGGGGTGTTGGGCCTCCCGGAATCGCTACGGCGACGGACGTTGAGGTGCGCCACCATGGCAACGGGACGACCTTGGGCCTTCATTGCTGGTGCACCTGCCACCCCGTCCGGGCTGCACAGACACTCGTGCCTGCGGGCACAGGTGAACAGCTGACTTTAGAATTGCCCTGTGGAGCCAAGACGCTCTTGAATCGTGTTTTCAACGTAAACAAAACGTGCCAATTATTAACCAGTTCAGCACACCCGTGTATCGGACAGTAAACCCACAACATTTACAATTTGAGTATAGCGACATTTCGCTGGCAATTACAAACTAGTTAACCATTTTGCAACCCTTCGTCTTGGTTCTTTCGGTAAAGTCACGTAGAATGGAAATAATAAAATAATAAAAATAAAACATTATAAAATATTATATTACTTTATTATATTATTTTATTATGTTTTATTTGTATTATTTGTATTATTTTTCATTCTACGCGACTTTACCGAAAGAACCAAGAAGATTAATCCCTGCAGTCACGAAAGCTTTAAATTAATTTTGCAACCGTTTCCAGACAGTCAGAGAGGTGGGGGGGGGGGGAGCGAATGGCCTTACCGTAGCGTGCACCACACGCAGGACCACACCGGCATCGTGAAGGAAGCCACGGCCAAGGTCCAACATCTCGGCCCGGACGCGATCACGGTCCGCCCCCGCACCACCGCGGGGGGCCGCTCGCAGCCCGGCGAGCACTGCCACGAGGCGGTCCACTCGCAGGTGCCGGGGCCCGCGACAGCCACGGTGGCCTCGACGAGGACCTGGGGGTCACCGGTGGGGAGCCGCGGGGTTAGCGAGGCCGAGCGGCTGGGCAGTGGGGCTCAAGGGGAGCAGCGGTCATTACGGCTGTCCGGACAAACACCGCCGCCACCCACCCCCCCCCCTATCGAAATGTGTAGCCCTTGTTCAGAATTGGCCTGGCCACAAATGATAGCTCAACTACGTGCCTTGTCATGTGGAAATGTATAGCAGCCACAAATACTCCAAAACGCAGGTTTGTAAAGGGAGAGAAAAACCGGAGGACCCGGAGAAAAATCCACGCCACTAAAGGGGAGCGAGATAACACGCAAATTCCAAATATACAGCATGTGTCAGAATCCACGTCCTCCTGTATACCAGGCGAGGTAGTTAACATCTCACCATTCGCGCACCACACCTAGCAGCTCGGCCATCACACACCCACCTCCTGTGAATATGGTAGAATTAGAATGACAGCACTACCACCGTTACTGCATTTCGCCGAATGCAAGATACAGTTTACACCAAAAAAATCGCCACCAAAAGCGCAAGTCGAAACTTGAGGAAGGATGGTAGAATCACCAATGACGACATTACCGCTACATTTTACAAAGCAAAAGATTCTACCCCCGTCGTGTAGCCTTTAAAACAGACTTGGGGGGGGGGGGGGCAAAGGGCTGTAATCGAGCATCTGAAGCCGGCACAAGCGAGCTCTGGGATCGTGTGGGGTCAGCACCGCGCTCACCCGCCCGGGCCGCCGTTGTGGCCACCAAAGTGCCGTTTTCACACCGCACAGGTTACTCATTAAAGGTTCGAGCAGAAGTAGCAGCGGTTCGGATACATTAGTCCGAACCTCGGGTCGCCATGTGCCAATCACTGCACCACCTCTCCCCACTCGTCACATCACCACCACCAGGTATAACAAATTAGCACCGAAAACCCTCCACCGCCAGACAGCCAATTAATTAAATTGTCACGTGCGCAAACACTTTTAATTGTCTCCCCATCCCCTCTAAAGCAAACCGGAACGTTGAAAAAATAAAGCAAAAATTGCAATATTATACCAAAATAAATAATGCAAAATAAATTGGTTAGGGATATTGTAAATGCACATCCTAGTGGTAAAACCTATCAAGGATAATATTGGTCACGAACGCTTTAGTGTTAAAATCAGCATGCTTACACAGACCTCCATAGACTAATCATCACCAGCAGCAAGACAGGCGTCATCATACAATCATCAATTCGATTCATCAGGACGACAAAAGTCATCATAATCGCCACCAACTTCACGAACTTGCCTGCAAACTCGCAGTCTCTCCAGCAGCAGCAGCATCATCACCACCACGACAAGGAGGAGGCTGCGCACCAGCGGGTACCTGCAGCACCGTCCATCGTAAGGTCTCCCCAAGAACGCCTGCGTCGGTGCTTGGGCAAGCAACCTTGCGGACCGCCGACACTTCGGGACAACTCGGAGCCACCAGCAGCCCTAGCACGAGCAGTTCTAGAACCACGGAGAGAGGCACAAAGCGTCTGCCCGACTTCGCGAACGTCTCGCGGAATCCCATGGCGGTCCGAGCCTCCACAAGGCGTGGAGGGAGGGGGGATGTGAGTTCCCGATTTGCCATCGTCGGGTCCTTATGTAGAGTCTGGGTGATTGGTCTCACCTGCCGTAATCCACAACTTTCATCTGCCCCCATTTGTCTCACTCGAACGCAACGCACGCGGTTTGTTCGCGCGATTCTCATTTCGATTTGGGGTGGTGGTGGGTGGGAGAACAACGCGAATTACAACCCGCGAAAGACGCCCCCCACCCCCTCCCCGAAACAATCGACAAACAAATTAGCGCACGGAGATGATAGCGATCACTCTGTCGCCATGACAACGGAGAGCTGTTAATGATTCATCACGATGGCACGCGCGCCGTTTAATGTACGAACAGGATGATCCATTTATAGATACCCCAATACATGGGGAGAGGGGGATTTCTTAGATTTCTTTTATTTCAATGCCTTTCCGCGTCTCCCACTAATCTCGGAACACGAGGTATAAGCGAAACAAAGGACAAGGCGTAGTGACCCCAAATAGCTCAAGGGGCCCCAGGTATATGACATCCCGGCTCATATGTTCATGTTTTTGTTTTGTTGCGGTTGCACCTGAGTCAAGAGCCGCATGGCTCACAGGATTACCTCCATGTATATAAAAAAGACAAAGTTGTGATTATGTGCGTCTGTTCAAAATGTTTAGCGTACTTCCCGACATGCAACAAACTTGAAATTTGCCATGTGGGTACTTTCCAGACTGTACACCATGCAAAAATTAGAAAAATACACTTTGGTTTTTTTGGGGGGGGGGAGCTCAATAATGCATTTCTTTTTTGCACGGCAAGTGAGCTGTGACATCAAATCTGCCACGTGACCCGCGCATGTGGAAGCGTAACGCATTGGAGTGTCGTGGTTAGCGCGCCGCGCTACGAACCCGGCGACCCGAGTTCGATTCCCGCCCACGGCTTTTGAAGATCCTTGCCAAGATGCTCCTGAGTAGGCTGAAAGTCCTAGCGGAGCGAGTCCTACCCGAGAGCCAGTGTGGGTTTCGTGCAGGAAGCTCAACAAACGACGTGATTTTTTTTTCACCCTTTAGACAAATACACGAAAAAGCGGCCGGGCAGCATCAAGATCTGTTTGCGGGGTTTTGTTGTTGTCGATTTCTCGAAGGACTTGGACAGGGTGGCCTCAAAAATAAACACACACACACACACTCTGGAAAGTTCTAAGAGTTTATAGGATGTCCAGAGCACTTTGCAAAAACGTCAGCGGACAGTTTCACGACAACACGATTGGCAGGGGTATTGGTCGCGGGAATTTTGGTCAGACCCCTTTTTTAAAATTCTTTATATTAAGTTCACTTGCTTGCTTGCATGCGTGCTTGCTTGCTTGCTTAGGACCGTGCACATCTTTCGGTCGTTTTTTAACCCACTTCCCGTGATCCAATCGAGCTGACAATTTGCACACAGACTCGTTGTGCCTGACAATTTTCGTGAAAATTTTTTTCCAAAATTTTACACAGTTTAGGGAAAAATTTTAAATATTTAATTACCAATTGCTTAATGGTGGCAGACAATCATCTGACCCATAGGTGGCAGCCATCTCAAGCCAGAGGACGAGAGGACTCTAGCCGCCACGCATATAAAGGATTTAGAGTGAAAAACCTTTTTTTACGGGTTAATTTTTTAGTATTTGGTCATGGAGTGAAAGAGGGATTTGTGTGCTGCCCCACATTCTCCTCACTCTCTTCCTCGCAGCAGTGCTCACAGCCACGAGTGTCAATCTTCACACCGGCAGCTATAGACACGAACCCCAGAGCGACGGCACGGTGTTTAATCTGGCCAGGCTACGTGCTCACACCACAGTGAGAGAACATTGTGCTCGAGAACTTGTGTTTTTTTGCCGATGACGCAGGCGGAGTGACATTCAAGAAATCGCGAAACCCAAGTGCTGCTGCTGCTGCTGCGAACCAATTTGCGGCCAAGAATCAACACGAGTAAGACTGAGATCTTGACTTAAAGCTTGCGTGACTGCAGGAATTCATATTCTTTGGGTCTTTCGGTAAAGTCACCGAGATAGGTTCAAAGAAAAAACTACGACATTTCGATAACAACACAAGTGATCCTCATATTTTTTTTCTCCTGATGACGATCACTTTTATTGTGATCGAAACGTCGTAGTTTTTTTGTCATTTTCTTTGAACCTATCTACGTGACTTTACCGAAAGACCCAAAGAATATAAGACTGAGATGTCGTCACTACCAGCAAAAAACACGAAACTGTAATCCACGTCCACCCAGGAATGTTTTCGTCAATGGTGGAGCTCGTAACGACGACTCTGCAGACACGGAGGTCACGCAGCGCCTTCAAGCTGCATCTCAGGCATTCGGTAGCCTCGATAGGCTCCCCGGTCCCCAGCGTGTCCACCAAAGTGAAGGCCTAACAGACGGAGCCAGTGGTCATTCGTCCACCACTTTGCTCTGCGGAAACACGTGGCACACAACAGGCGGCACGTGAAGAAACGGACGTGCCCACAGCTGAGCACATTTGAAACAAATCACGAGGACGAACTGGCCAAGGCCTAATGACAAAGCAACCGAGATGCTGGCTAGAGCTGGGACTCCCAGTGCAGAAAGGAAGCAGTCACCCCCTCTCGGTTGAAATGGTCAGGGCACGTACACCAGGAATGCCAGAACGTCGGCTTCCTGATGCCCTTCTTGACGGTGGACTCAGAGAGGCTGAAGCATGCGTGTTCCCGGTGGCCAAACCAAACTTTGCGACAAAGACACCTCAAGACAGCCAACAATAGCAATGTGGACACGTGGGAGGAAATGTCAGAGCCCAGGCGCTCGCTGCCACCGACTTGGCGAAGAGGGTTGAAAAGAAAGAGCAGCAGCGGAACAACACCAATCCCATCCAGCAGACGAGGAGCGGCTATCTGACCACAGTGCTGCCGATGCTTATGTTCAAGGGGCTGGTGCCCTCTCATCCCACCCAGGAGATAACGCTGTTGTAGCTGCTGTAGCTGTTGTAGCTGTTGTAGTTGTTGTAGCTGCTGTAGCTGCTGTAGTTGTTGTAGCTGCTGTAGTTGTTGTAGCTGTTGTAGCTGCTGTAGCTGCTGTAGCTGTTGTAGCTGCTGTAGTTGTTGTAGCTGTTGTAGCTGCTGGAGCAGCTGGAGCTGCTGAAGCAGCTGCCAAGCCACTCGGTGTTCTCCGCAAGCCACCATCGTTCGCGATGGACAGCCGAAGGTTGAGTAGACAGCGTAAATGTGTCACGATAATTCCAGATTTGATGTTTTCGTGATTGCAAGGATCCCATACTCTTTGGTTCTTTCGGTAAAGTCACGAAGGTGTAAAAATAAATAAATAAAATCACCACGTTTCTATTGCAACACAATCAATCATCATCAGGTGTGACAACCATAGCAATAATAAAAAAAATTGCTGTGGTTGTCACACCTGATGATGATTGCTTGTGTTGCAATCAAAACGTCGTGATTTATTTTATTTATTTTTTCACCTACGTGACTTTACCGAAAGAACCAAAGCGTATGTGTCACGATAACTTTCCAGGGCGGCGACAGCTTCATTTAATTTAAGTGGCTCTGTCCGGTGACGGACGGTTATGTAGCTCGAGAATGGAAGTTCACCAACGCGATCTATGGAACATTGTAACCCACTGGAAATCAATTCCGAACCACAATATTGGTCGTGCAAGCCAAGGCTTCCTCCCAATTGATGCTCTTACGCGAACCAGCCCACGAGATGGCGCATAGCGTGGGAGGAAAGTGGCGGTCTGGGGTGGGGGATGATGGGGGTGGTGATGGTGGGCGAGCGGTGGTGCAGCAGTTAGCGTGGCCGCCGCGACGAACCCAGCCACCCGAGTTCGATTCCCGCTCTCTGAACCGGTCCTCGGGCCTCCCCTAGGTCCACTCAGCCTCAAACGAGTTGCCTGGTGCGCTGTGTAAAATCATCGCCACTGGGGAGACAAAGGCGGTTGGGCGTAGTGCTGAGCCTTCCGGCCATCATAGGTGCTACTGCCGAGCAGCACTTGCCCTCAACTGTCTGTTCAAAGCCTATCCGGGGCATCTTTGTCTTTGGTGGTGGCGGGGGAAGCGTGCGCGATTGTTTCTTCTTCTTCCAACAAATGTGACGCGAGTCGGGGGGTAGGGAGGGAGGAGGGGGGGGCAGAGGAGGAGGGCGCAGGGGAGGGAGGGGGGTGGCAGAGAAAGAGGGGGAAGAGGAGATGGGGGCAAGGTAGGGGAGGGAGCGGGCAGGGGAGGGGGCTAGCAGAGAAAGAGGGGGCAGAGGAGGTGGGGGCAGGGGAGAGAAGGGGCAGGGGAGGGAAGGGGGCAGGGGAGGGAGGGGCAGGGAGGGGGTAGCAGGAAGAGGGGATGGGAGGGCGCAGGGAGGGAAGGGCGGCAGGGGGAGGGATGGCAGAGGGAGGGGGGTAGCAGAGAAAGAGGGGGGGAGAGGAGGAGGGGGCAGGGGAGCGGGGAGGTGGTTGTGGAGAGCAAGGCAGCAAGCAGCAGAGCCACCCACCCACCCAGTCTTCCTGCCCGCGTGCCGTGCCGTGCGAGAGAGAGAAGAGCGAGGCGAGCTTCAGCAGCTGACGTTGTTGTTACTGCGTGGCGGGGAGGGGAACAGGAACGCCACCACATAGAGTTTGGGGGTCGATCCCAAACATCTCAGCCGAAAAGTTCTCAAAACCCTTGCGCTTACCCCCCCCACCCCACCACCCCTACTCGGATTAGGGTTTTTATCTGTCGTGATTTGTGCCGGTATCCCTGCGTGGGACGAGAGCTCGAGAGAGAGAGGGGGGAGGGAGAGACGGAACGGGACTTATCAGCCGCCGCTGCTGCTGCTGCGAGAGAGGGAAACCTTTTGTCTCGCAAGAAGGAATGCGCGATGATGACTTCGCGTCTGCGCGCCACTCCGCCTGCCCTCTTGGCAGTGGTCGCCTTTGTCGGTGAGTTGTTCCCCATCGCGTCGGGTCGCGGTCTTATCCACCGCTGGATGGAGCCCTCTCAAAGCCGGCATCATCTCTCGCTGTCATCGTCGTCATCGGCCATGATAAATCCACTGCTGGCTGGCGAGCCAACTCCACCGCCATCTCTCGCGCGGTCTATGCGATGGAGCAATCCGCGAAACGTCTGACACGCCGCGGGCTTCTCGTTCCACGGCTCCATCATCTTCCGCGCGCTGCTCCCTCGATCGTTCGCGGGGCCTCCTCTGCCCTCTCCGGCGAAGTTTTCCCGCACGCCGCACATCGCAGCAGTCGCTTTGGTCCGACGCGCCGAGCCCAAGGCCACTTTCGTACAACCACTTTTCTCCGCAAGTCGGTCCGTCTCCGTGCCCGGGGGTCTCGTCCCTCTCGATCCGCGTGAGCCCTCGACCCTTTTCACTGCAGCCTTGCACCCCCCTCCCTTTGGGTTTCAATCGTACACAACGTGTACAACGTTAAATACATACATAGGGTTTGATGAAACAAAGTTGTCAGTTTAACACGCAGGCTTTCGCGACCAATATCATCCATTGTAGAGATGTTGCTGTACTGGTGACGAATTGGCACGTTCTGTTTACGCGACAAACCTCACTACTTGGCTGTGTCGGGTGGTGGAGGGGTTAACGACACATTTACGCGATATAACCCCAAAACACCTCTATTATGAAAGTAAGCTGTAGCTTACATTCCCGTGCTTAATTGTGTTGTCGACTATTTACCTTCTCAAAAATTCTGGCCCATGTCTCTCATCCCCCCCAACCCCCAGAAAGGGCATCTCGCACCCCCACGATGTGCGTGCCCCCCAGGCCGAGAAGACGCAGAACCCCTAAACTCGATAACCCACGTCTTGTGTGTCCGCCCTTGCCGTCTCTTTGGCATAACTCCAAGCGCCTTCTCCCACGTGTCTTCTGCGTGCTTCTTGTCCCGAACTCATCCCTCTCGATGTGTCGTCTCCCCCACACGTGGCCTGTGGACAGACTTGGTTGTCCTCGTTTTGTGCTCGATCGTGGTTGGGGAATGTCCATGTCGCGGGGTTTTTTTTGTCCGACGACGTCTGCGAGTTGTTGTCTGCATTGTGTTTTTTGTTCCCACGGTCACAGAGCCGTGCCCGCGTGGGTGTCTGCATGCCCCACGTGGTTGTCTACATGACCCACGTGGTTGTCTGCATGACCCACGTGGTTTGTCTGCATGACCCACGTGGTTGTCTGCATGACCCACGTGGTTGTCTGCATGCCCCACGTGGGTTGTCTGCATGACCCACGTGGTTGTCTGCATGACCCACGTGGTTGTCTGCATGACCCACGTGGTTGTCTGCATGACCCACGTGGTTGTCTGCATGACCCACGTGGTTTGTCTGCATGACCCACGTGGTTGTCTGCATGCCCCACGTGGTTGTCTACATGACCCACGTGGTTGTCTGCATGACCCACGTGGTTTGTCTGCATGACCCACGTGGTTGTCTGCATGACCCACGTGGTTGTCTGCATGCCCCACGTGGTTGTCTGCATGCCCCACGTGGTTGTCTGCATGACCCACGTGGGTTGTCTGCATGACCCACGTGGTTGTCTGCATGACCCACGTGGTTGTCTGCATGACCCACGTGGGTTGTCTACATGACCCACGTGGTTGTCTGCATGACCCACGTGGTTTGTCTGCATGACCCACGTGGTTGTCTGCATGACCCACGTGGTTGTCTGCATGCCCCACGTGGGTTGTCTGCATGACCCACGTGGTTGTCTGCATGACCCACGTGGTTGTCTGCATGACCCACGTGGTTGTCTGCATGACCCACGTGGGTTGTCTGCATGACCCACGTGGGTTGTCTGCATGACCCACGTGGTTGTCTGCATGACCCACCTGGGTTGTCTGCATGACCCACGTGGTTGTCTGCATGACCCACGTGGTTGTCTGCATGACCCACGTGGGTTGTCTGCATGACCCACGTGGTTGTCTGCATGACCCACGTGGGTTGTCTGCATGACCCACGTGGGTTGTCTGCATGACCCACGTGGTTGTCTGCATGACCCACCTGGGTTGTCTGCATGACCCACGTGGTTGTCTGCATGACCCACGTGGTTGTCTGCATGACCCACGTGGTTGTCTGCATGACCCACGTGGTTGTCTGCATGACCCACCTGGGTTGTCTGCATGACCCACGTGGTTGTCTGCATGACCCACGTGGGTTGTCTGCATGACCCACGTGGGTTGTCTGCATGACCCACGTGGTTGTCTGCATGACCCACGTGGGTTGTCTGCATGACCCACGTGGGTTGTCTGCATGACCCACGTGGGTTGTCTGCATGACCCACGTGGGTTGTCTGCATGACCCACATGGGTTGTCTGCATGACCCACCTGGGTTGTCTGCATGACCCACGTGGTTGTCTGCATGACCCACGTGGTTGTCTACATGACCCACGTGGGTGTCTACATGACCCACGTGGTTGGGGTGGATGGTGTAGGGGAGTCATCGTGGTTAAAAACTAAAACAGACTATAATCGCTATTTTTTTGGTACATTTTACCAGGTAAAGCCCACGGAACTATATAGTAGTTTTTTGCATAAGCGACCTGGCTATCACAAATCATAACTCAAGCTAAGTTGCTTATCTTCACGACGTAGGAATTTATAACAGCGGCCAAATACTCTGAACGCGTGATGTTGATTCTAAAAAAAATCCACGTGACCATGGGGAGAGAGAGAGAGAGATAAAGACGCAAACTCCAAATATAGAGCAGTCGTCAGGGTTGGGAACGAGCCCACGACCTCCTGTAGACCAGGCGAGGTAGTTAACATCTCCTAGCTACTGTGGTTGTTGGGTCGGTCCCAATGTCGTCTTTGGGGCCCCGAAACAGAGAATCATTTGTTGGGTGACCTTTTCAACTTTGACACCGCCCTGCGACGAGAGACGATTGAATGGACGACTGTGTGGACAAGGGATGCAGTGAGGCGTGGAACTCACAGACAAGATACACAGTTGTGGTGAGGTGTGGAACACACAGACAAGATACACAGTTGTAGTGAGGCGTGGAACACACAGACAAGATACACAGTTGTAGTGAGGTGTGGAACTCACAGACAAGATACACAGTTGTGGTGAGGTGTGGAACACACAGACAAGATACACAGTTGTAGTGAGGCGTGGAACACACAGACAAGATACACAGTTGTAGTGAGGTGTGGAACTCACAGACAAGATACACAGTTGTGGTGAGGTGTGGAACACACAGACAAGATACACAGTTGTAGTGAGGCGTGGAACACACAGACAAGATACACAGTTGTAGTGAGGCGTGGAACACACAGACAAGATACACAGTTGTAGTGAGGCGTGGAACACACAGACAAGACACACAGTTGTAGTGAGGCGTGGAACACACAGACGAGATACACAGTTGTAGTGAGGCGTGGAACACACAGACAAGATACACAGTTGTAGTGAGGTGTGGAACACACAGACAAGATACACAGTTGTAGTGAGGCGTGGAACACACAGACAAGATACACAGTTGTAGTGAGGCGTGGAACACACAGACAAGATACACAGTTGTAGTGAGGTGTGGAACACACAGACAAGATACACAGTTGTAGTGAGGCGTGGAACACACAGACAAGATACACAGTTGTAGTGAGGCGTGGAACACACAGACAAGATACACAGTTGTAGTGAGGTGTGGAACACACAGACAAGATACACAGTTGTAGTGAGGCGTGGAACACACAGACGAGATACACAGTTGTAGTGAGGCGTGGAACACACAGACGAGATACACAGTTGTAGTGAGGTGTGGAACACACAGACAAGATACACAGTTGTAGTGAGGCGTGGAACACACAGACAAGACACACAGTTGTAGTGAGGCGTGGAACACACAGACAAGATACACAGTTGTAGTGAGGCGTGGAACACACAGACAAGATACACAGTTGTAGTGAGGTGTGGAACACACAGACAAGATACACAGTTGTAGTGAGGCGTGGAACACACAGACAAGATACACAGTTGTAGTGAGGCGTGGAACACACAGACAAGATACACAGTTGTAGTGAGGTGTGGAACACACAGACAAGATACACAGTTGTAGTGAGGCGTGGAACACACAGACAAGATACACAGTTGTAGTGAGGCGTGGAACACACAGACAAGATACACAGTTGTAGTGAGGCGTGGAACACACAGACAAGATACACAGTTGTAGTGAGGCGTGGAACACACAGACAAGATACACAGTTGTAGTGAGGCGTGGAACACACAGACAAGATACACAGTTGCAGTGAGGCGTGGAACACACAGACAAGATACACAGTTGTAGTGAGGCGTGGAACACACAGACAAGATACACAGTTGTAGTGAGGCGTGGAACACACAGACAAGATACACAGTTGTAGTGAGGCGTGGAACACACAGACAAGACACACAGTTGTAGTGAGGCGTGGAACACACAGACAAGACACACAGTTGTAGTGAGGCGTGGAACACACAGACAAGATACACAGTTGTAGTGAGGTGTGGAACACACAGACAAGATACACAGTTGTAGTGAGGTGTGGAACACACAGACAAGATACACAGTTGTAGTGAGGTGTGGAACACACAGACGAGATACACAGTTGTAGTGAGGCGTGGAACACACAGACAAGATACACAGTTGTAGTGAGGTGTGAGACTCACAGACAAGATACACAGTTGTAGTGAGATAAGGGAGATGTGGTGAGACGAGATCCCAACAGAAACAAGGACAACATTGCGAGACGGATTCGCTTTAGAAGGAGATTAATTCGCTCGTGTTGTGTGTTACTGAATTAGCTTGCTATTGTCTTAAACTAACTTTTGAACTCGAGACCATTTTAGTTAGATTCACTGACAATTGTCTTGTGCACCCAATCTCTCGCCTGGTGCGCACTCTGGGGCTCGCCACGAAACGTTTAAAAAAGAAAACTCGCTCACAAACGCGTGCGGGTACCACGCTGTGCCAGGAGTAAGATTCACGAGGTGAAAGATCGCTTACAAGGTACACGCCGGGGACTTCATCTCGAACCGACCGGCGTGGTGAAGTATGGTCAAACACCACCGACGGGAACCAGCACGGCGTGGGGAAGGCCTCGTCCGACCGGTGGCTTGACAGCAAAGGGCTGTTCCGTGCATCGTTTTACGCAGCGTGTGTCAATCAGGAATGTTCAGTCATGGTGACCTCACGAGGCTACGTAAACAGCCCGATGACCAACTCGCGTGAAACGCGCACGATCTTCCTACATCTTGGAAGCTTAAGCAGGAGGGGGGGGGGGTGTGAGCCTGGTGAATGCTCGCGATGGATGGGTGACCTAATACGTGCACGAACAGGTTGCTGCTCTCGACTGCCGCCGGGACTACGTCGTGGGTGCCACGGTGGCGAGATGTTAACTACCTCGCCTGGTATGCAGGGGGTCGTGGGTTCGATCCCGACCCAGACGCCTGCTGTATATATTTGTAGTTTGTATGTCTCTCTCATCAACATCAGGGTGGCAAGGATATGTTAACTACCTCGCCTGGTATGCAGGAGGTCGTGGGTGTGAACCCGACCCTGACGACGCCTGCTGCTGTATATTTGGAGTTTTCACGTTCGTTCTCTCTGTGGTCACGTGAATTTCTCTCCAGGTGCTCCGGGTTTTCCCTCCGCATACAGAATCAACATCGAGCGTTTAAGAGTATTTGTCTGCTATAAATTTCCACGCGACGATAAGCCGCTTCGTTGAGCTACCATCTGTGGTCAGGTCCCTTCTGAAAAAAATCTATATAGCTCAGTGGGTCCTACGTGGTAAAATAAAACATAGTTTAAATAGTTTTAAAGTGGGAGGGTTCGGTGAAATCCATTGTGAAACTTCTGTACTTCTGTGCTGAAATAAACTAAACTTTTTTTTTATTTACCAGGTAAAGCTCACTAAGCTCTACACCTATTTTTCAGAAGCGACCTGGCTATTGCAAATGATAGCTCAACGATCGTGGCTTCATCACGTGGAAATTTGCAGCAGCCAAATACTCCATAAACGCGTGACGTTCATTCTAAATGTGGAGGGGAAAAACCGGAGGACCCGGAGAAAAATACACGCGACCACGGGGAGAGCGAGAGAGAGAGACACGCAAACTCCAAATATACAGCAGCCGTCAGGGTCGGGATCGAATCCACGACCTCCTGTATACCAGACAAGGGAGTTAACATCTCCAAGCCATCGACCTCCTGTATGTCAGGCAAGGGAGTTAACATCTCCTAGCTACCGACCTCCTGTATACCAGGAAAGGGAGTTAACATCTCGCCACTGACCTCCTGTATACCAGGCGAGGGAGTTAACATCTCCTAGCCACCGACCTCCTGTACACCAGGCAAGGGAGTTAACATCTCCAAGCCACCGACCTCCTGTAAACCAGGCGAGGGAGTTAACATCTCGCCACTGACCTCCTGTATACCAGGCGAGGGAGTTAACATCTCCTAGCCACCCGCGAGCCCTATGGCTCCATGGTCTAGCTCTTCACCAACAGCTGACAGACCGGTGTGGCGCACAAAGTATCGTGCCAACCGGCACATCCATCGGTGGATTGACAAGGCCCTCATCCAACAGTGGATTGACAAGGCCCTCATCCAGCAGTGGGTCGGCAAAAAAGGGCCTGCGCATTTACACAAATCGTTTGAAAATGTCGCGTAACTGAGCGCGAGTCCGTTTTTGTAAAGTCAAAGCTTTCTCACGCATCGCCGCCCTCTTTAGCCATAATCGCGTCTTGTCAAAGTTTAGTCGGCTAAAACATTCCCTAAATCGGATACATTTTACACGTACGGATACGTCAACCAGAGCCACGCGTTGTGCCGTTGGCAGCAGGAACGGCTCGTGTCGCTTTTAAGTGGGTCACCGAAATTCACGCGAGTTGTTCGCGTGCATTTACAACACTTGCGTGCGGTGTGAGCACCTCCTGTCACGGTGAAATGCGCTAAAAACTAACCGCGGTGAAGGTGCAGCCCTACAATTGCTTGCGGGCTGAGCCATCGACTGATTTCTTCAACTACAGGTCACACGCGAAATATTGTGATAATTATTTTATTGTGTTTTATTTTTATTATTTTATTACTTCCCTTCTACGTGACTTTACCGAAAGAACCAAGAAGATGATATCGTGCTACAGTTTTCACGTGTCCCTCTATCGCGTGCCGGCGTTTCTGAAGTGCACCTTCCACCAATCTGCCCTCGACTCCTTCCCCCCCCCCCTAGCCCAACACCCCGCCCCCCCAGCCCTGTTCCAAGTCCAGGCTCGAGCAAAAACACTTTCCGTCCTTCATGCGGACTGTCCGCCTCCCCCACTCAGCCCTCTGTCTCTGCAGAGTAAACACACCCAACTGTGTTTGTGCTGCGTCTTGAGATAACGGTCACATTCGGACGATACTCGCACAAAGCCACGGTGTATCGTGTGCTGTTGCTGTTGTTGTGCTTGTTATCTGCCCTTCGTATTCAAGAAAGGGTTATTTAATTCTAGATTTGAAGCTTTCGTGACTGCAAGGATTCATATTCTTTGATACAGCGAGCGTGCTGTGACGGTTCCACCTGAAGACGGAAGCTTGTGTTGCCTCCGAAACGTCGTGATTTTTATTTTATTTTACTTTTATTAATTTTAATTTTAAAGGGTTATTTGCCAAAAGAAGCCTCTTTGGCAGTGCGATGTATCCAGTATACAAGGCAGTTTAGGATGTGTGAATGTGTTTTTTCCTCCCTCTGACAGTCGACGTGGCTGAAACCCCTTGCCCTGGTCAAGTGCGGCCTTGAGAATGTATCTTCTTTGCCTATGATCGCCTCTGTCCCTTTTTTTTTAAGCGTCTCCATACACGCTTCTGCCGTGAAGTCATCTCGTTTGTATGTATCGATCTCAACTGTACCTCTCTGCCGTCTGGCATTCCGCGCCCCTCCAAACGGAGGGACCCCCCCTCTTCTCCAGACTATTTAGATGCGCGCGGTTTCCTTCATTTGCACAGCGGTCCTTGAGACGCGGTCACATTTACGAACCGTATGAATCGAAAGTGTATAGAAGGGTGTTTTTCATGTATACCCGTACACCACTGCAAACGCGTTCCGGTCCCAAAAAAATTTGTATTCGCATGTTAATACAATTTTTTCTCCCGCGACCAAATCGCACGGAACGCACACCCGCTATCTCATCGGATCTCGCGGCGAAAACGTGATTGTGCCTGGATAGTGCTCGCGCACAGCGCTGCGGGGCTGCGTTGTCAACAGTGGCGAAGTTTACACATCGCACCAGGTAGTCATTTGAGGCTGAGTCGACCTAGTGGAGGCCCAGGACCGGTTCTGATAATCGTCACCGGTGTGGGCCGTGAACGGGAATCGAACTCGGGTCGCCGGGTTTGTAGCGCAGCGTAGCACTAACCGCTACACTCCCGCTCCCCACTATATCTACACGCACACACACACGCGCACACACACGCACACACACGCACACACACGCACACACACACGCACACACACACGCACACACACGCACACACACACGCACACACACACACGCACACACACACACACACAAAAAAGATAAAGATCCCCCGTATAGCCTGAACAGACTGTAGGGGCAAGTGCTGTTAGCGAGCACCTATGAAGGCCGGAACGGTACACGAGGGGGTGGGTGGCCAGCACCACGCCCGACCGCCTTTGTCTCCCTAGTGGCGATGTTTACACACCGCACCAGGTACTCATTTAAGGCTGAGTCGACCTAGGGAAGGCCCAGGACCGGTTCAGATAATCGTCACTGGTGTTAGCCGTGAGCGGGAATCGAACCCGGGTCGCCAGGTTCATAGCGCAGCGCGCTAACCGCTACCGCTCCCCACAACACACACACACGCACACGCACACGCGCACACGCACACACGCACACACACACACGCACACACACACACACACGCACATCTCACGATGCGTTTTAATTGCGGTGCTCGCGCTGCGCCTGTTTGGCAGACGTGGCGCTGGCGCAGTGCTACGACGTGTGCGACCAGGAGAAGTACTGCTGCAGCTCCGACGACACGGCCTACTGCTGCTCGTACCTCTCCTACGTGGGCAACGTGCTGACGTGAGTGCACGCCTGCGGCGCCTCCATTCATTCTTCTAGCCCCGCTCGGAAGGGTCCACTCAGAGTTGGCATCCATCTGCGGGAGCAGGTCTCCGCCGAATGCGTTTAGCCCCACCGCCACTTTCCCATAACCCCCCTCTACCCCCTGCAGTATTGCCCAAGCAGAGCGTGGCGGTGCGATGCAGTGTAGAGGGCCGGATATGAAATGTAAAATCGCATTTTTGTCGTTAGACGAGTTTGTGAATAAACTCCTCCAGCCAGTCGAACTTCGTTTTTCAGATCCACGTCTTTTGTATGACCGAGCAGCCGGATCAACATCATTTGCTAGAAAGGTGTGGGGGGTGGGTTGGGGGGGGGCAACAAACAATGCAGGGCGTGACAAATCCCCCGGGCATTTCAGAATCGCAACCGGAAACATTAACATGCCACTGGAGGAAATCCGACGAGCTACAAAGCTCTTTTTCGCAGACATCCAGCGGAGCGTCTCGCCCGTCGCGTCCGTGTGGTTGCGCGCGCTGTGCAGGGGGGCGGCGATCGCCGGCATCGTGCTGGGCCTCGTCTTCCTGCTGGGGATCATCGCGGCCGTGGCCGTGTGCATCTGCTCCTGCCTCAAGTCGAGCCAGCGCAGGGTGGGCATGGCGACGCCGTCGCGCTCCAACGCGCTCAGCACCGTCACCGTGGCGGCCGGCGAGGGTTATAGTAAGTACGGTGGGTCGGTGCGTTGGCGGGTCGGTCCGTCGGTGTTTAATTTACGTGCCGATATCGGAGCGAATATTAAGTAGGCATCGGGTGCACGTCGCAGCAGGACTGGAAACGGTACAGGAGGCACGGAGCAACAGGAATGAGTTAAGCCCGTCACGACCTCGGCGGCTAACATCGACCGAGCAAGATTAAGTGCGACCGTGCGCAGCGAATATTTAGGACGCGCAAAAAAAAAATCTACGGAGTAAATTAAACAAATAATAAATAAGGATCGCGTTTTTTTTCTCATTTTAAATTTTATGGGAAGGCAAGTCGCAACGGATGGGTCTTGCGCAGACCGCGTGGAATTTAGCGACGCTTCGGCAATTTGGAGCCAGGTCATCTGTGCTGCGGATAAAGCGTGCTTGTTAAAGAGTTAATGGAATGTTTTGAAGGCACACGCTCGCTCTAATCATCAGCCGCTTCGTCGACGGCCAGTTGAAGACGAAATATACGAATTTCTGTTGGGTTGCTTCTGCAGGTGACTCTCATTTATCCACGGGCGGATTATCCTCATTGGCGATTAACAGTGCTCATTCGCACCTTTCACGATCCGGCGCATGCGTGCGTTGGTTTAATTATTAAATGCTCCTCGGCAGCTACCCCTAACCACAACAAACTAACAAACCGGCCCAGTCGCTCGCCCTGCCCATACTCACAGCCACGCCATCCAACCAATCTGTAGCTCGAATATTTACCTCCCCAGCCAACCAAACCCCTACTCCAAGTAGGGTCCAGCACTACTTCCAACGTAAACAAATTACTCAACCGTTCAATAACAAAGAAAAAAAAATACCCGACTCATTCGGCAACAACACTGCCTTAAAAAGAAAAGGCGTATGATAGGCAGCGTGTTGGGCAATGGGCCTTCTTCACAGCGCATAGAGAGAGGCCAGAGAGCCCCAACCACAATAGCCAAGTAAACACTACCCCTACCCCTAACCACGTTAGTCAAGCAAACTGCACCATTACTCCAAACCCCAACTAATCAAGTAACCCCTGTCCCGTCGTCTTGGCCTTACAACCCATGGCCATAAGCCCTTCCGCTCCCGCTGGAACCTCACCAGAGATCCCCTTTGCACTGTTGGCGTTTGCTCGCCTCTGTGTGCGGCGGTGCGATGTGTGGGGCTACGCAGCTGGTGTTGCAAAGCGGCTCTCTCCGTGCACGTGCCCTGGGAGTTCCCCACCCCCGTCCGTCTCCCTGGGGTAGCGGTGAGCGGTGAGCGCGCGACGCGACGGAGCCGGTGACCCGGGCTCGATTCCCGCTCCCGGCCAACGCCAGGCGACGATTATCTGAACCGGTCCTGGGCCTGCTCTAGGGTCGATTCGGCCTCACGAGTACCTGATACGGTGTGTAAAAAACATCGCCACTGGGGGGAGACAAAGGCGGCCGGGCGTGGTTGCTGGCCACCCACCCCCCTCGCGTGCCGTGCCGGTGCCTCGTCGGCGCTGCTCGCTAACGGCACTCGCCCCAACAGCCTGTCCCAGGCTACGCGGGGCGGATCTATGGCAGAACCCCTCCCGTCTCTGACTTGCCCCTTCCTTACCCATGACCCTGTGTCCGGCCTGTGCAGGCTTCCCCCCGCCACCGCCGTACAGTCCGTACAGTCCGGCAGTGGGAGCCGACCTGCCGCCCCCCTACGCGGCCCAAAGCACGGGCCCCGGGCCTGGCTACCCTCCTCCACCGTACCCGGGAAAGTAGCGGACGGGGGACGGAAGAGAAGCGAAACGGTCTCCTCTCTACCACGTTCAAGACCAAAGCGACGTGTTTTTTTAAAACTCTCTTTTTGTACTTAATGTAAAATAGAAAATCATCTCCCCCCCCCCCCCCCCCCCCCCCCCCCACTTGTTAAATGTAAATCAGAATCTTCATCTTCACTGTTTAAACAAACAAATAAAAAAATGAGGATTGGGAAGACTTGCATCCACTGCAAGGGGCATCATGGCTGATGGGCAAGACCGCTCTGACGTGATGGCTCAACGGAGAGAGAATGCGCCCGGGAGGGGATGACGGCCGCGGAGATGGAGCGGTGAGACGGGGGTCACGTGGGCGTGCAGGAACGAGGTGGGCAGTGCGGCGGCGCGCGGTGACTCCACTGTCGAGGGTGCAGGCGGTGCAACTGCACCGGTGTCGATAAGCCGGAGGAGGGGTGCAAAGGTGCTGGGGGTACGCTGGAGAGGGGGTACGCTGGAGAGGGGGTACACGGGAGAGGGGGTACGTGGGAGAGGGGGTACCATGGTAATGGGTGACCTTTATCCAGACAGTGGCTAATGATGATGATGCTGAAATGCAGAACCAAGTTGTTTGCCCAATGCAGATTTGGAACACGGTCTATGTGCTTAAGATTTTCTAAGTGGTTTATAAAGTGGATGGTGGCTGTCACGTGATGGCTGGAGACGACTCGGCAAGTGAACTGGAGGCTGTCACGTGATGGCTGGAGACGACTCAGCAAGTGAACTGGAGGCTGTCACGTGATGGATGGAGACGACTCAGCAAGTGAACTGGAGGCTGTCACGTGATGGATGGAGACGACTCAGCAAGTGAACTGGAGGCTGTCACGTGATGGATGGAGACGACTCAGCAAGTGAACTGGAGGCTGTCACGTGATGGATGGAGACGACTCGGCAAGTAAACTGGAGGCTGTCACGTGATGGCTGGAGACGACTCAGCAAGTGAACTGGAGGCTGTCACGTGATGGATGGAGACGACTCGGCAAGTGAACTGGAGGCTGTCACGTGATGGATGGAGACGACTTGGCAAGTGAACTGGAGGCTGTCACGTGATGGATGGAGACGACTTGGCAAGTGAACTGGAGGCTGTCACGTGATGGATGGAGACGACTCAGCAAGTGAACTGGAGGCTGTCACGTGATGGCTGGAGACGACTCGGCAAGTGAACTGGAGGCTGTCACGTGATGGATGGAGACGACTCAGCAAGTGAACTGGAGGCTGTCACGTGATGGATGGAGACGACTCAGCAAGTGAACTGGTGGCTGTCACGTGATGGCTGGAGACGACTTGGCAAGTGAACTGGAGGCTGTCACGTGATGGATGGAGACGACTCAGCAAGTGAACTGGAGGCTGTCACGTGATGGATGGAGACGACTCAGCAAGTGAACTGGTGGCTGTCACGTGATGGCTGGAGACGACTCGGCAAGTGAACTGGTGGCTGTCACGTGATGGCTGGAGACGACTCAGCAAGTGAACTGGAGGCTGTCACGTGATGGCTGGAGACGACTCAGCAAGTGAACTGGAGGCTGTCACGTGATGGCTGGAGACGACTCGGCAAGTGAACTGGTGGCTGTCACGTGATGGCTGGAGACGACTCGGCAAGTGAACTGGAGGCTGTCACGTGATGGATGGAGACGACTCGGCAAGTGAACTGGAGGCTGTCACGTGATGGCTGGAGATGACTCAGCAAGTGAACTGGAGGCTGTCACGTGATGGCTGGAGACGACTCAGCAAGTGAACTAGAGGCTGTCACGTGATGGCTGGAGACGACTCAGCAAGTGAACTGGAGGCTGTCACGTGATGGCTCGAGACGACTCAGCAAGTGAACTGGGGGCTGTCACGTGATGGCTGGAGACGACTCGGCAAGTGGACTGGGGGCTGTCACGTGATGGCTGGAGACGACTCAGCAAGTGAACTGGAGGCTGTCACGTGATGGCTCGAGATGACTCAGCAAGTGAACTGGGGGCTGTCACGTGATGGCTGGAGATGACTCAGCAAGTGAACTGGAGGCTGTCACGTGATGGCTGGAGATGACTCAGCAAGTGAACTGGAGGCTGTCACGTGATGGCTCGAGATGACTCGGCAAGTGAACTGGTGGCTGTCACGTGATGGCTCGAGATGACTCAGCAAGTGAACTGGTGGCTGTCACGTGATGGCTCGAGATGACTCAGCAAGTGAACTGGTGGCTGTCACGTGATGGCTCGAGATGACTCAGCAAGTGAACTGGATGCTGTCACGTGATGGCTCGAGATGACTCAGCAAGTGAACTGGTGGCTGTCACGTGATGGCTCGAGATGACTCAGCAAGTGAACTGGTGGCTGTCACGTGATGGCTCGAGATGACTCAGCAAGTGAACTGGTGGCTGTCACGTGATGGATGGAGACGACTCGGCAAGTGAACTGGTGGCTGTCACGTGATGGCTGGAGACGACTCAGCAAGTGAACTGGTGGCTGTCACGTGATGGATGGAGACGACTCAGCAAGTGAACTGGTGGCTGTCACGTGATGGATGGAGACGACTCAGCAAGTGAACTGGTGGCTGTCACGTGATGGCTCGAGATGACTCAGCAAGTGAACTGGTGGCTGTCACGTGATGGCTCGAGACGACTCGGCAAGTGAACTGGTGGCTGTCACGTGATGGCTGGAGACGACTCAGCAAGTGAACTGGTGGCTGTCACGTGATGGCTGGAGACGACTCAGCAAGTGAACTGGTGGCTGTCACGTGATGGCTGGAGACGACTCGGCAAGTGAACTGGAGGCTGTCACGTGATGGCTGGAGACGACTCAGCAAGTGAACTGGTGGCTGTCACGTGATGGCTGGAGACGACTCGGCAAGTGAACTGGAGGCTGTCACGTGATGGCTGGAGACGACTCAGCAAGTGAACTGGTGGCTGTCACGTGATGGCTGGAGACGACTCAGCAAGTGAACTGGTGGCTGTCACGTGATGGCTGGAGACGACTCGGCAAGTGAACTGGTGGCTGTCACGTGATGGCTCGAGACGTCTCGGCAAGTGAACTGGTGGCTGTCACGTGATGGCTCGAGACGACTCGGCAAGTGAACTGGTGGCTGTCACGTGATGGCTGGAGATGACTCGGCAAGTGAACTGGAGGCTGTCACGTGATGGCTCGAGACGACTCGGCAAGTGAACTGGTGGCTGTCACGTGATGGCTGGAGACGACTCGGCAAGTGAACTGGTGGCTGTCACGTGATGGCTGGAGACGACTCAGCACGTGAGCTGGTCACGGTCATTGTCGACCGAGATCGGCAAGCGCGCCTCCACCCATCTACGCGCCCGCTCCTGACAAAACAACCACCATGGCACCCACGTGTTGCTAAGATGCAGTTGTGTTAACACCAACGTGTTGGAATGTTTAGACTTAAACACTGAAAGGTACACTGGCCATCCTGCGTGTATTTATGTTGAACTTCTTTCGCACCGTACGTAGCCAACCGCGCTAGCCGGAGGTGCGGGGGCAAGACAACAAATGAAACACAAAGTTTAACACGTACGCTTTCGGAACTGATGTTATAAAGGTTTTGTTTTCACGTGAGATCGCGTCAATATAAATGCGTCGTTAACACACCGCCACCCGACACTGCCAATCAGTAAGGTTTGTCACGTAAGCAAAACGAGCCCAATTAGTGACCACTGCAGCAGCTTGTTGTACCTAATTGACACGTTTCGTTTACTTGACAAACCTCACTAATTGTCTGTGTCGGATGGTGGTGGGCTAACGATACAGTTATATTTACTCTAACCAAAAAACAAACCCCTTTTTTATTATGAATAAATACGAAAAGCAGTTCTAAAAAAATTTGTTTTAAATCTAAACTGATCCTCCCTGCCCCAATTCCAGGGTGACCTTTTGGTTGGAGACACAAGCTGCCGCTTATTCACCACGTGGTGATGACCGGTGTAGAGATGTTAACTCCCTCGCCCGGTACACAGGAGGGCGTGGGTTCGATCCCGACCCTGACGCCTGCTGCTGCTGCTGTACATTTGGAGTTTGCGTTTCTTTCTCCCCGTGGTCGCGTGGGTTTTGCTCCGGGTCCTCCGGTGTTTCCCCTCCACGTTGAGAATCAACATCATGCGTTTAGAAAATTTGGCTGTGATGTATTTCCGCGTGACGATGAGCCGCTTCGGTGAAGCTATCGTTGGTGATGGCCAAGTCGCTTCCGACAAAGAGCGACTTCACTCAGTGGGACTTACACCTGGTAAAAAATAAAAGAAAATAATTTAAATAGTGTTACAGTCTTGCGGCTGGCTTTGGTCATTTCATCGCTGAGAGTGGAGTTCAGGCGTGGAGATGCATTGATAACAGCGCTGGCTGGCCGCATTAAGCCTGCTCTTATTGTTGCTTTGCCCTGTTGTGGGGGGGGGCGGGCAGGCAGGCGGGGGGGGGCAGTCTTTGTCAAATGGAACAAGAGGGGATGAGTCGACGGCTGTTGTCTGAGACGCCGTGACTCCCCATGTGGACGTGCCAACATTATCGAGGTTCCAAAAACGCGAGCGAAATGAAACTATTGGTCGTGCAGAGGGAAGTGTTTGTTGATACTGTACTGTCAAATCAAAAACATGAACCCAGCCTATGTAAAGTGAAACGTTTGATTTTTTCCCGATACCGTGTTGACACGCGGTGTATTATCGCACAACGAATAAACAACAACAAAAACTTCAACGCATTCATCGATGACACTGCGTTGAAAGGAACGTATATAGTGGACGACGTTTCGGGCAACGGTCCTTCGACGGCACATCAAGGCCGTAGAGGTCGAGCCGCCTGTGAGTGTGCATAACGTCACAGACGATGAACGGAGTGGCAGAGAGAAAATGAGCAACTTTAAAGGGGGGGGGGGGGGGGGGGGTCACTCAATGTGCCCTTGAATAAGCGAGTTGTGTTTCTTCACGTGACTCATCATACGCACAACCGTGTGTGATGAAATTCCGGCCAACCTTAGCAGTGGAAACGTAAATATGTATTTGTCTGAATGTTATTCGTACATCACAATTGGGTGCTGGTCACGACTCCGTGTAGATCCGGACGCGCGTGTGACGAGTCGCTGTTGTACTTGGGTTGCTACGACACGAACAGAAACGCTCGGCGGGCATAAGGATCGCGAGAGACACTCGTGGCAAGCCTTGTGATTTAAGCGCGTGTCGCACAAACCCACGTGTGTGTGCGCGTGTGCGTAGCGGGGAGCGGTGGTGTAGCGGTTAGCGCGCTGCGCTTCGAACCTGGCGACCCGGGTTCCATTCCAGCTCACGGCTAACACCGGTGACGATTGTCTTAACCGGTCCTGGGCCTCCCCTAGTTCGACTCAGCCTCAAATGAGTACCCGGTGCGGTGTGTAGTAAACATCGCCACTGGGGAGACAAAGGCGGCCGCACGTGGTGCTGGCCACCAACCATCTCGTGTGCCGTGCCGGCCTTCACAGGTGCTACTCGCTAACAGCACTTGCCCCAACAGTGTGTTCAGACTATACGGGGGATCTTTGTCTTTGTGTGTGTACATACAGGCATGTTCGAAGCGGCTCCGAAAAACACGTTTGTGGCCGTGCAGCCCACTAGCCAACTTGGAATGCAAAAAATGTGGGTAGAAGTTACAAAAATGTGTTTTTTTTTTAAAACCCCGGACCTCACATTTGTAACACACATGGCACCAAAGGCCATCACCCCCGCCTCCTCCTCCCAACAAGTTTGTGGATCGTGGGAGGTGGCGGGTGGTGCGCTCAGAAAGAGAAACATTACGGGGCAATACGTGCATGCACTGCGTGTGTAACGGGGCCACCGTTGACATGAACACCCTCTGCCAACCTATGAAGGAGCTATGCACGCGCGGCTGCGTACAAGAAAATGCACATTTGGTTAATTTAGGGGTTTGGGATGTAACCCGCTGTATCCATTCTCTTCAACCAAACGCTGTTATTTCCACGAAGACCAACCTAAGCCCATGTGCAACTTGCGATGTGATTTACTTTCTGAAGACTATACTGGAATAGTAAAAAAACAACACGCTTGGCACGTGACGTTCCCTTATCAATATTAAAATATCTATACCTACCCACAGTTGAATGAATCGTTTTAGTGTCTCAAAGCCCACTCAAAGTATATGCCTTGGATACACCGGTCATATACTCGGCCCTCTGAAAAGCACAGTTATATCTCATAGGAGTCTTGGCAGTTTTTTCGTAAAAACATTGAATACTAGCATAAGTACCCGGCGTTGCCCGGGTGAAAAATATATTTCTTAATAACCTTACATATATACACAGATGGGCTGCTACCCCTGACCCCCCCCCCCCCCCAGCCACGATCTCCTCGGCCGCTGTGCAGTAATATGTACGGCCTATAGTGTGGTGGGGTGTCGAGTCCTAGTACCGTGCAGAGCCTCCGGCCTCGCCTAAATTGCCCACCCGGCTGAGGCTGGGTACGGGTGCCGTTCCCCCCCCCTCCCGCGCTACAATAATACTGTCTAATCGCTATAATTTTATTATCTACCGACCCTATAATAGTAATTGCACACATTGGGGTGGGGGGGGGGGTGAAGAGGACGTGAAACTTTTATGAATTTACCTCAGAGTCACGTGTTAATGCGTACGCATATTTTTAACGGGAATAAAAAATGGCGTCCATCCCGCAGCGAATGCGTCGCTACCCGTTGCCAGGGGCAACCGCCGTCCAATGAAACTGCGTATGGTCCGGCGACACACAGACAGACAGACAGATTTGCGATTTTATATATATAGAAGATTGCACTCCATTGACGTTTGTTGAAAACGCGTGACTGTAGCTGCAACCGACACTTGCATTCACGTGAGTGGCGTTGTGGCTTTTTCAAATTGAGATGCCCCGTGAATATTCAGCTTTTGCGAGACATTTTTCGCTCGGACACGAGAGAGCTCTGGCGTCATCGGACTGATGAGGTTTGTTTGTGGGGAAGCCGGCATCATATGTGCGGTGAAATTTTCCCACGCTTGCAAAAGGTTATTTTACGAGTGCGTAATGAACCTTTTGTAAATTGTGTTCAGTATGTTTGTTTGCCATGGTTTGCTTTGGCTGTTGTACATATACCATGTTTTATTGTCCCATAAGAATGTGTGCATCATATTATTAATATGCCTACCAAACTCTTGCTTGACGGTTTTAGCAAATGCCACGTGGTGTTTGCATTTTGAATACAACACAAACTTGAGCAAAAATATGGACTACGTGTTGGAATGCTGCCTCAAAAAAAATTGCTCTTTGAGTTGTGGGTATGTCACGGGTCCTGAAAAATGTCCAACTGGTGAAGTGTGTGCGTTTTGATCACGTGTAACGTGGGGAGCAGTGGTGCAGCGGTTAATTCGCTGCGCTACAAACCCGGCGACCCAAGTTCGATTCCCACTCACGGCCACCAACACCCGTCACGATTATCTGAACCGGTCAGGGGCCGCGCCTAGGTTGACTCAGCTTTAAATTAGTACCTGGTGCAGTGTTTAAACATTGGCACTGCGGAAACAAAGGTGGTCGGGCGTGGTGCTGGCCACCCACCCCATCGTGTATAGTGCCGGCTTTCATATGTGCTCACGAGCAGAACTTACCGCTAACGTTTATTAAGGCTTTAAGGGTGATCTTTGTCTGTGTGGTCACATGTCACTGCTTTCACAGCAACACCCAGGACCTTGTAAAAACCAGCACAGGGTTGGACTCACAACATTGAAGTGTGGCGTTCAGCATTACAATGCTATCTCTTGGTGGTGTTCTGCGTTACCAATAACGGCTTGGAAAACTACGTTGCATCATAATATAACCAAAACATAGCAAAGCCTAGAATACACCACAGTCAAGTCTTATTGTATGGAAAATGTGTGGCAATGACCTCAAATGTGGTCAATAACATTGCAGGTTTTTTCCAGTTGGTTTTATTTCACTTCCCCTTGTGATTCTACAGCCTTTTGCTCGTTGTGTATTTTGGTGAAGAGTTTCCAGCAGGGCTGATCCTTATCTTTTGGATACCTTTGACGGCAATACATTTAAACACACACACCTCAGCCACTTACTCACTGCAGAAGGCCCGGAGTGCAATACAATTAAGAATACAAATGAAGAATGTACGCACCCACGTGTTGCTAAGATGTAGTTGTGTTAACACCAACGTGTTGGAATGTTTAGACTTAAACACTGAAAGGTGCGCTGGCCATCCTCTGTGCATTTATGTTGAACTTCTTTCGCACCGTACGTAGCCAACCGTTGCTAATGGGAGTGTGCCAGGGGAAGGACAACACACTGAACACCAAAAGGAGTTTTAAAGAAATTAGTTTTCCAACTTGATAATTTTAAAGTGCATAGCTCCAAGTGACGTTCTAACACGAGAAGGAAAGAGCGTTCCAGACGGCCCAAAAGCTGCTGGGAGGATGACCGAGTTCACGTGAAGAATGTTGTTGCCAGGTTGAAAAGGTTCCCCTGAGTGTGGCTCGGATGTTTGCAGTGATGGATACATATTATTTGTGGGGCCCTTTCGAATCGGTAGGCTTCATGTGACCGCAGACCCTTTGAAATGAAGTTGCGGTTTGCATACAGCCCATGGGTTATCGGGGTTTCCATCCCCGGAGTTAGTGGGGAGTAGAGTTCGCTGCGGAAAGAGTTCGAAAACTTCTAAAATGCCAAAACCAGTCAAATGTCATTACTGATGTCTGGGATTCAGTAAGGCAGCACTCCTTGATGCCATTAAAATGTTGCCATTAAAAAATATATATTGGTGTTAAGAGTGTGTTGTGTGTGTGTTTTAGCGTGCTGCGCTACGAACCTGGTCACCCGGGTTCGATTCCTGCTCATGGCCAACACCAGTGACGATTGTAACCGGGCCTGGGCCTCCCCTAGGTCGACTCAACCTTAAATTAGTACCTGGTGCAATTTGTAAACACCGCCACTGGGGAGACAAAGGCGGCCGGGCGTGGTTGCTGGCCACTCACCCCCTCGTGTGCCATGCCGGCCTTCAAAGGTGCTTGCTAACAGCACTTGCCCCATTAGTCTGTTAAGGCTATACGGGGGATCTTTGTCTTTTCGTCTTGTTGTTATGTAATGACATGCAACACATTATGACACCAGAATTAAGTATTTTTTCTTTGGGAATTCTTTTGGAAAAAAAACAATTTCAAGTGCCATATTTTTGTCCGTGCGCCTGTAATTACGAACTTAAAAATTGTAACCAGTCGCATTCATAAAGTGACGAGCCGAGACATATTTCCGTTCGCGTGAGAATCCACCAAACGCTGCATAGCCTCTGACGATACACACTATTTAAAGTGAAATATAAATTATTCTTGGATTGGCTGTGCTGTTGAAGACCTAACTACTACAGGCCAATCGATCCCATATCAAATAATACCGTAAATGACCATGTACACCAAAATGTGTTTTTATTCAAATTAGCGTTGAAGCTCTTTGTTTTTACAGCCCTGACCAAGTGGCGGAAATGCCACATCCGTATGGTTGACGTGCCGGAGACTCTCCACAAATCCACCTCCGCCAAATTCCCCACAAAATTGGTAGATCATTTCTATCGACCGGGATTTTGAACTCGCAACCTTCCGATGGCGAGCGGCTGGCTTTACCACTGAGCCACCCAGGCCGTTACCACGAGTTGCTTTGTGCGATCACGGTCCTGAAAGTCCCTGCAGTACTGTTACGATGTGATGAGGTTGTCTATCCAGCACCAGTGGTGTAGTAACGACATTATCATTGGCGAAGTAATGACATGATCAGTGGCGTAGTAACTCCACTATCAGTGGTGTAGTAACTATATTATCAGTAGTGTAGTAACTACATTATCAGTGGCGTCGTGATTACATTATCAGTTGTGTAGTAACTACATTATCAGTGGCGTAGTAACTACATTATCAGTGGCGTAGTGACTACATTATCAGTGGCGTCGTGATTACATTATCAGTGGTGTAGTAACTACATTATCAGTGGTGTAGTAACTACATCAGTGGTGTAGTAACTACATCATCAGTGGTGTAGTAACTACATTATCAGTAGTGTAGTAACTACATTATCAGTAGTGTAGTAACTACATTATCAGTGGTGTAGTCACTA